CCAATTTTGGCCGAAACCGAAACTAAAACCGAAACTTCAGTCGGTCACTACTGCTAACCAAATGTTCAAGATAAACAAAAACCAAGACCAAAGATAAAGATAAAGTTGATAAATGTTTCACGTTTTAATTTCTGTTATCATTAATATGATTTTAGTAAATCATTATAAGGAGTGTTTTGACTTATTCTGTTTAGTAAATGTTTTCTTTTAATTTTATGTCGTGTTTACTTTATCAAATGAACATTGATACTTCTAGTTTACTAGCATTTTTTTTTTACAATGTTTTGTAACAGTCTGGAATGTCAGTTTCGATTATTATATTTATAATTTTATTTTATTATACTATTTGTTTACTGAAAAATTTCACTTTTTACATGTCAGATTTCTTGTCTAAGCGTGCGATATAAGAAACTCGTTTTCTCAACACTCAAGGCGAGTGTGGCAATTGCTCATGACCTAAATATATAAATGGCGGCATGACATCATTTACTCTGTCATGAATGGTAACCACGTTTACAAACGAATATTTTTTTGATACAACTGTCTTATACTTTTTATATATTATAGCCATATTTTATATTGCGTACCAACGATACACATTTTTATGATTACAATAGTAGATTATCTATAGATATAATATTAGTGAGACCGGTAATAGAATGAATCAACAAATAACTTAAATTACTGCGACTGGCAATGTTTTATATCAAAAAGATCAAAACAATAAACCAACTCACTTTGTGATCTCTCTTTACACACCAAACAAAAAAGTTTTGCAAAACAACATAGTCGACATGGATTTCTCATAACAAAATGTTTGTTTGTTAACTCAGTAGCCAGCTAAAAAACCGACGCGTAGACTACGACAAAACAAGCGATAAACCTTATCTCATTATGCTTGGAATATTTTATGGGCTTAACAAAACTTACACACTTTCTTAGCAATAAAATTTTTTTATACTCCACAAATTTGAAAATCAGTAATCCATAATCTGGAAAGTATGAAAATAAAACAGGATGGATACTTATACTTTGATTTTTGATCTTATATGAGTTTTAAATTTTCATTAGAGATTCCTCGATTGCTTTAGCCATTTATATTCTGTGGCTACAGTATCATTATTCCATCTACAAACTGCCTGAGTATCTCACTTAGCGAGCAACGGCAACAGATATGATTAATTCAATTTACTCCTTAAGAGAGTGGGACATGCCTCGTGACTAAACCGTGCCCTCTTGACCATCTACTTTAGTGTTGGTTACTAATCTAACATCCAATAAAGTAATTTAGCAGAAACTGAAGTAGACACTCGTCTGTGGTCTGTATCTAATATAACTAGAAATCGCCTAGCGGTCGAATTTTGACTGTTTTGAATGTTTTGTTCTATTTCATTGACCAGTAAAACTTTAGATAGATCAAAATATACACTGGACACCTATAATTCCTAATGTAGTCGTTTTTACATATTTTTTACCTCTATAGCATATTATTGTGATTTTTTTAGCTTTCTGAGCTTTTACATATATTTGTTAAAAACACATAAAATTTACTTTGCGTATTAATTAATAAATAAAAGTTTTTTAAGAAGGTAGATATAATATATTAAAAGGTTATGAATTTTTATAGCATTGCTCGAGTCGTAGTAGATTGTAGTGTAAGTAACGACTCGAGCCAAGCCATCCGTATTTGCAAGTTCACTTCTTTTATAGCCTTCCCTATACAGTTTTAATATTGATATGTATATTCAACTGGGTTTGAAGCTCTATACCTAACGATAGATAGATGGGAAAGGTTAATTAAACAGAGATATTTTATGTTTAAGTAAAAAATACAAGTTGAATAGCAAGAGCATTTTCAAATAAGTTAGGTAAAATGGAAAGAAAATGTTTAGAGAATTGTTAAGCGTGGAAGAGCCATGCTGCACTAATGGGCCGGCTCGACCGGAGTGATACCACGGCCTCACAGAAAACCGGTGTTAAGCAATTCTTTCGTTGTCTTTCACTGAGTGAGTGAGGTTAGCGGAGCTCAAGGCCCCCTCTCCCGCTGACTCGAACGGGAGAGGGGGATTTGGGCTCCGGTTTGGACAATACATATAAATGGGGTTGTGTCACTTCCCTTACGTTGTACGGTTAAAATCTAGAGTTCCCTTTGACGTTGCCGTTGATTTGTTAATAGATAAATTTATGATATCACTATTTGATTATCTTTTTTTTTTGTTTAAGATTATAATATTAGCTTGTGTAATTACTGACAGTCAGATTATATCAATACATTGTCATTTTTCGCCGAAAGTAGCAGGAAATAAGTATATTCGATAATTAGTAACTTTGACCACAGTTTACATGTCGCTATTAAGTAGATAAATGGCTTTAGATTATTACAACTTTCTAAAATGTTCTTGCTAATGCAATGTACATTAAGTTACTTCACTGTAAACTAAATTATTTCGACTTTTTGGATAGTTAAATAATATTTTGAAGTAAGTATTGTATTTGTGTATTTTGTTTATACTAACTTCAAAATACAAATAGATCCGCTTGATCAAATAAGGAAGAATTTTAAAAGATTCGTTTAATAAAATTCACTTATTTGTAATTATTTCTCTCTTTCTATAAAATTATTTATATTTGTTTATCAACACCAATTTCACTAATACCCGATATTTACACCGAGTTTATACATTTGTATTCGACAATGAAGCTGTTGTTACGTAGTATGCTCTAGAAATAATAAACAAAAAAATAGGGGCATGAAAATAAAACTATTGTTATGTAAATATTTTAATTTTAATTATTCTAACCTATTAGGATAAATTAAACATAAATAATATACGGAATGTCACCACCCCTATTCATCGCATGGGTGTCGTAAGAGGCGACTAAAGGAGCAAACTACGCAGGACAACAGCACTACATAGAGAAGGAACACTTGAAACAAACTCTATACCAACCCGTCTGGCCAGCGTGGTATAGTAGGCCAAAACTTCTCTTCTAAGGAAAGGCCTTGGTTCAGCAGTAGGCTATTAAAGGCTGTTGATGAAACATAAATAAAATAAAAGAATTGTAATGATTACATTACCACAGTTTTATGGATACCGTATATTTCGAAACGTGGGCGAGATCGACCAGAGTGATGCCATACAAAACGACACTGCTAATTCTTTTCGTAGCTTTTCACTGAATGGATGAGGTTATCGGATGCCCAAATCGTTTATATCTCTGTTCATTTACTTAAGACTATCAAAGATATCCGGTGATGTATTTTTTTAAACCTTCGTATACAATGAAACATGACTAAACTTTTAAACATACTTTGTTGTTGGTCCCAGAGTACTTAAAATAGTAGTTACGCACTGGTTGTTATGTAGAACGGCTATTATAAGAACTACGACCGAATTACTAACGTCTGCGATGCTAGTCCAGTAAGCTTAATAACGAACTATTTTTGATGGTATTACACCACTGTGCAGACCTGAAAGAAGTATCCCAAATAACGGTTATTACAAGTCGTGACATGAATCTGATTACTATGCATTCTGCAAGCATTTCACGTATTTTAGTGTCACTGCTTGTACAAACCAGGACTGGTAGGCATGTTACCTTTCAACCACATACGTCTAATTAAAGATACAAATTACCACCACTTTAAGTTTTCGGTTTTTATTATTTCGATATCTGATATTTAATCTAAATCTGATGTACCGCAGTGACGACTGTTAAAATCAAGTGGCAAAAATCGAGCATGTGAAAATCTTGATAGGAATTCAATTATCGTAAATCCTGTAAATCAGAAATCAAATTCACTTGCTAGACTGTATTGGCACATAATCAAAATATCTAATACTTATTGATAGATCGTAAATATACTCACATTATGCAGTAGACAACAATTCTTAATAATCTGTATGTAATCCTAACTCGCTTATGTTAGCGTTGAGAATAAGTATACCCTTGCGCTGTGAAGCTATAATAAACAGATATTGTATTTATTACTCATAGCCTACGACATTCATTTTCACATTCATATCGTGACAAAGTATGGACAAGAACATTGTCTATCGATCTGTTTATCTCAAATATAACTAAGTCTTCCCATGAAGTTATGTAATAATACAAAGTTTGTCGTTCGATGACAACGTTATCCTTGACAATTATACAGACGATGTACTTATATGATTCATGTAAAGAAAACAAGTCAATTCAAATTATGTATCTATGGAAAAATAACTCACGACATAGATATTTGTGTGATAAACATCGCTCTTAGTTGGATGTTCAATAATAAAACGTTTCAGAAATAGAGACTGTTATTCAATTTTTTTAACCTATTTCGAAAATGGAAGAGGTTCTCGATTCGATTGTATATTTATTTGTTTATTATCTCAGTACTCCGTCATTTATGAAAAGATTCCTTTAGATTATTTGCGTGATGATAATGACATAACTATCAATTTCTACTATAGAGAAAAATGAGTAAAAATAATAATTAGTACTTCGGATTATTTTAATTCATCATTTCTTTTATTTTACATCACGTCTTTTGTTCAACGTTTTTTTAGTTCCACTTAAAAATAAATCAACTATGTTAAAAAAATCTTAATAGTCAATTTTAATTTCGAATCGTCTAAATCTAAATTAGTTTATAATTTATTTTGTGGCGGCGCAGTATGTAACATTGAAAAGGGTAGGATAGTTGGTTTTGTGGCCACCCGACTGTCTGACGCCAACTCCCTTAGGGAAAGTAATTTATTTCAGGCGGGACAACAGTAGAAGGTGAATTGGGGTAAATAAAACGGTAGGGCATAGACCCGAAGTAAGTAAGCTATAATTCTTGGGTGGGAAATGGAACTGAGACTGCATTAACTCGAAAAAGTCAAGAGAACATACTTCTATGTCTCTCCTTTAATTATAAAGGCAACTAGGATAGGGACAGACTTATAACATAAGTAATACATCATTTTCTACTCATAAAACCTAATATTTTGCTCGTTTGTTCCCAGGGTGCTGTCTACGTTGTTACCAATGCAATTCTCAGACGGACCCATCATGCGCAGACCCTTACAAGCCTCAAGTACCTAACAAGCATCTCGTGGTAAGTGTTTAAGATACATAATTTAATATTACAATTAAGGAATTAGCTTACTACGTAGCTAATATAAAGAATAAATATTTATGTCAATAGATACGCTCGTTAAAGCATCTTTTTCAGTATCGTGGATCTTAGAGAAACGAATTATATTGGATGTTAGATATACATGATATACGTACATATTAAATCACAGAAGCAAAAAAGAAATAAAAACGGCATGAGAGGTCTATGGAACCCCGGGAGGAACGAAGTTCCTTTCGCTTTTTTGGTAGACGTATAGCAAGAAGTGCCTAAAAAAATCTTGTTCCACATTTTTCGGTCACGCTCCCATCCGCTCCGAACTTCGTTCTAATAAAGAACAAGTAATTAAGTATGGTATTTCTATCATAGTATTTTTAACATAATATTTATATATGTAGAGGTAAAAATACCAGTGTTGGCAAATGCTTAAAATAAATCGTATTTAAGCATCCCGAGCTTTCTTAAAATTGTTAGCGCTCTACTTTATTCACTGGTTCTGATACGATGCGATACGATACGACCCTGAAATATTACTATACCTTTCTGTAAGCCTCTAAACTTTACATAGATCAAATAAAAGAAAACTTTATAGACGTGCAGAAAAAAAGTTGCACCATATTGTATTAAGATAATAATATTGTGTTATTTTTTTCCTAGGACTGCACAACCCAAGACAGCATTAACTACAATATTCAATTCTTGCGCTCCATCCTTCCTCCCGAACTTACTAACAGCATAGCCGGAGCTACCAGATACTGCCACAAGATTGTTTTGCGTAAGTACAAATACCTATGTCTTTAATTTGAGCACTTGGCTCACTAAAAAAGTGCAATGTTTATGACCGGTATTAAAACAGTGCAACAACTTTCCAATACATGTTTTTTTCTTATTGCAGAGACTGGCACCACTATCCGTACCTGTTTGGACAGCAACCCTAGTGAAATTAACCATACCTGCCGCTCCTTAGAGAACGCAGCATCCAAATCTATGCAATCTATTGATCCCAGCTTCAAAATCAAGCACTGCAGCGTTTGTGACAAAGACAGTTGCAACGGGGCTTCTTCAGCTGCTTTTTCAGTCCCACTCGCTACTCTAGCCCTCATCGCTACATACTTGTTGTGCAAGCAATAATATGATTCCAGTCACAAAGACAGTAAACATTTGTTGGTCTAGCTTAGGCATACACGTGATGCGTACTGCTTGCTAATATTATACCAATGGTGCCAAAAAAATATTACAAGTAAACTTTCTAAAGAACTATTTAGCATGCAGAATTTATTGCTAAAGCCACCGATTGCCTTTAAACACGGACCGTCCAAACGATTGTTTATTTGCTTTGTGTGTTTTCTTAATGTTAGTAATAATAAGGATTTACAAATGTGTACAACATGTGTACAGTATAATTCATAAACTCGAAGCTCATTGCAAGTACTAAAATTAGTAAATGTAACCCACGCACTAATTTTCATAATCAATATAAAAGTACAATAAAAAACATCCACCTCATACCGAGGAATATACGAACAAACAAATGTATTGCACAAGCCGCTCCACAAATGCGAGCAATTTACAAATTAGCCCAGTGTCCTGTTAAGGCGCCTTATAATCAGTAAGCTGTACCGTTGTTAAGTAGATTGTATGAAAAATAAATATTTACTACATAAGATACATGTATAAGATAATATTCTGTATTAATAGTATATGTTGTTGACTATCATCTGATTGTTATGTATTATGTAGCTAACACTGATGTGATATCTTATTCATCTTTTCATACAAAATGTTATGATTGTAAGAATTTTTGGCTACAAAGTAATTTATATATGTAATAGCTGTTACATAAATAATAAATAACACATGTTAACTGTTCCAAGATATTGAAATAAGCATTTATGTATTTGTATTTACCTAATAGTTAAATACCGTCCTTTATAAGGTTTTTATTTATAATAAAATATATAAAATGTATCAATATGTAAGTTTTAAAGCCAAACAAGTCTGGCTAGAATATAATTTACTTTATGTTTTGGGTATAATAAACATATGTGAAGAAATGAAGTTGCTCCAAACAAAAGGTTTACATGCGGCGAAAATGTCTTGAATCTCAATGATATTAGCTTAATGATGATGATGATGAAAAACCACCAAAAACCACCATATAAAATGTTTTTTTAATTAGACTGGTTTGTTCTCTGTCCCGTGTAGTGACTGGATAAGAATACAGAGTGTCACCACCCCTATTCATCCCGAGGGTGCCGTAAGAGCTGACTAAAGCGGCAAACTACGCAGGACAACAGCACTGCAAAGAGAAGGAAAACTTAACACAAACCCTATCCTACCTATCTGGCCCGCGTGGTATAGTAGGCCAAAATCTCCTTTTCGAAGGAGAGGCCTATGTCAAGCAGTGGACTATTAAATTAATGAAATGTTGTTCTCTGTGCATTGATATTAGTAGATAATATAATTTCAAAGTATAAACAAATATAAAGGAGAGCCTGATGACTTCACTCAATTGTATAAATTATAACGAGAACATATTTTATGAAGAATAATTAAAAATAATTATTACGCACCACCGTGTAAGTAAGTATACATCCATTATTGAAAGAAATAGATCGATGTTGTAGTGACTGGGCGATATCAAAAAAAAGGTTTAAAACCATATTGTCTTTTAACTATTAAATGACTGAAGAAATTTTGATAAATGATACATCGATAGATTCAACTCTAATGCTTTAGTATCAGTCGGTATACATTATAATTTTTCTAAATCGATTCTTGACTCTAAAATAGAGGTTTTCATTTTGGCGTAACTCTTCTCTTACACCAATCGTGTTTTTACAAGGATGATGATGATATGATTGTTTAAACTAAGTTGGAAAACCTAATTGTAAACATTGACCGCATTAGTCTTTTGCAGTGGCAAACCTCTGTCCTGTAGAAGCAACAGTAGAACAAATACATCACTATTTCAATGAGTTATATATTAATCTCGGAATTTTCTATACAACGGAGATTCCACAACTGGGGATTTCAATTCAAGTAGATATCTGTTGTTTGATCCTGACAAATGTATTATTAGAAAAAGTTCTCTAAGTGGCATGATTTCTTTTTTACTTTAATTTACCAAAGAGCACTGGATTTTATCGGATTATAAATAATTTTCGCAAAGTTCTTTTATCCTTTACTTCATCTGATCGGACTGGAGCAGACGAGCAGACGGGTTACCTGATCAATAGTGACCACTGCCGCCCATGAACGTCTGCAACCCAACAAAGACTACGCTCTTTTCTTGAAATATCACAGACGATAACTTGTTTCACAGATTGGTTGATACATGCACAGACAATAGATTTATTAATAAATATACATATTACTATCTGAATTACAAGTGTAAAACAGATAAAGCCTGTGGTCACATATTTCTCTATTATCTGAATGTTTATTACTACGTATATAAATATATTTTTATTTTTATTTTCAACTTTACTAACCTCCGATAGGCAAGGTAAAAATATGTTTGACACAATATCAGAATATTTTTCGGAAGTTAATTAATATTTACCATATTAATGAGCACCCATAGTCAGTGTACTTTGATTCTCGTCGAATCTCGTACTCGTAAATTTCATATTTCTATAAATATGTAAATTAACAAATCTATATAATTAAAAATAATTCTGGATTCAAATGTGTTAACCAATTCTTCCTACAATAGCTTGCCTCGTAAAGAGCACAGTAATTATAGCCCAATCACATGTCAGCCATGAGTACAAAAACTTGGTAAATTTCTTGAGAGATAAATTTACCAAACACATTAGTAAAAAATCAACTACAATTGGCTCTTAAAAATAATGATGTAGAAAATTTACTGGTAAATGATAATCATTTACCATATTGTCATGGTTTTAGAGTCTATAAGCTAGTTGCAACCGTAGTGAGCTAACAATTGTATATGTACCTATATTAAATAAAGCTTTTGACTCTGTACGTTATACGTCACTTTTTCCGATAGCTAAGGATAGCCTTAGTTCTACTCTAACAGTTTGAGGCAACAGATACAATGATATCTACTGAGATCACGTTTTAGAAAACTTTTTATTTTCGATCATGTATTGATCTAGAAGCGCCTGCATTAACGATCCAAATCTATTTTATATGTGTAAGTTGTGTCTCAGAATTTCTTAAAGAAGAATGTTTGAGTGTTTTTCTTTTCCATTTCAAATACATAAACAATCAGTGTCCAGGTTTGTATTTAAAATATTACTTTTATGAGCCATTGGCCAATCTCAAAGATCTGTAGTTGGTCGTAACAATCACAATCACTGTCCAATCTGCAAGATGCTTATTTTTTCTATGTTAAAAAACGTAACATAAATCAAAAAGATTCTACAGCAATCTTAGGCTTAATAATTTTTATCATTGGACACACATCCAAGGACTACTTTAATTCAATAAGCTGTGTGGTGTGCCATATGACGATTTCAAATAAGGAAATTACTTGACTAATAACTTAAACCAATCAATGTCATGAAAATTTAAAATACCGAATTTCTTAGATAACACAAACTATGGTGATTATGTTCATTTTGTAATAGGTGTCCCCATTTTGTAATAGGGATACCTATTACAAAATGAACAGAATCACCGTTTAGTTATTTTACTTTTTGTAAAGTACACGTAACAAGCAAAACTACAGCTTATAGCTGTTTGAATCATTGTCCAAAATGGGGCTCTCTTGCTTCTCAATTTTTTTTGGAATCATTTTAAACCTATGTAGGTATAGAGATTTATCTGATAGGTTTACCGCTGACACCGTTATAATACAATTAATAGTCAAAAATCGTCACTATTGGCATGCAATGCAATTACCAATTTCTTTTTCCTGTATACTATATTAATTGTATGGATTTAACTTCCTATAGAAAAGTTTTTTGTTGGTTTGTTTTAAACCTTTTAAACCCGCTTATCGCATGAACAGGGGTCAGATGTGAATAATTCTTCCTTTGTAATAAATGGTATACTAATTAAGGAAGGTTTTAGGATTATCTATAGAAACCTTAAGATGGGAGAAGTGACCATCAATGTGAGTGAAACTGCAGGCAGTGGCTAATAAACTATGTAATAAAATGTGTATTTAGTTTATCATTGTATTTACCCGCTGATAATTTTGAAGTGTTCGGTAAGATATGTATTCCTATTGTCATATATACATGCTGATTTTGCTCTACTCCTAATTTAAGCAATTATCTTAGACAAATGAGTGACATGAACACTAGTAATTTATCTGTGCTAGCAATAATGTAAAAATAACAACTTTTTTTTTTAGATAATCAAAGCACAGGCCGAAATTATATATACAATTTTGTCATTTTGGTGGCAGTTTGTTTATCCCTTTACTGTTGAAGTCTGCTGGACGAGGGGCGATGAAGACAGCGAAAGCGTTTGGTACTGTCTCTCGGGTATTGAAATCATTTCCACTTAACAAAAAAAAACTTAATGTTGAAAGAAAAATAGATATCTATTGAGGCTAGGTGATTAGGGTGGGTGACGGAGAGCTTCCAGCTGTAACTCTTTTAGCTTGGCGATTGTCTGTAGTGAAGAGTGAGCTCGCGCGTTGTCGTGTAGAAGCGATGGAGAAAAACGACTGACTAGTCGTGGTTGTTGACTTGCGAGCTTTTGCAATTCTTGGCAATACTATAGAATATTATAATTGCTAGGCTAGCTATAAGGCTTGTATAATTCCTCTATCAATTTTTATGTAATAATTGGTAGAGGAACAATATAAGCCTTGCGCCACAAAGAGGGGAAGGTATCAGAGTTGAGAGAGAAGTTAATTTAACAGAGACACCAGAGACACCCCAGAGCTTAGCTGTAGATGAAAATGACGGTTGCTATCATTCAAACTAATTTTATTGTTTAACACGGGACGTTGTTGTTTATCAATCCCTAAAGTACTTACCAAGAAATTTCCATTTGCTGAACGAAGAAGAAGACTATGTTTTGAAGAATATGCGTTTACCACCTGGCTTATCACCTGGTTCCACCGATTCTTTGCAGTCTTATAAAGGTTTAAATTGTCTTCGCAGCGATTTCTCTTGAAACGAAGAAAGGACTGGTCCCTTTATCTCATTGCAGTTCGGGCCTTCTCAGTCATCCAAGGCGCGGGAGCACATTTTAAATTTACTCTCCTAATAGGAGCGTAGACGGTCATACAATATGACTAGGGTGTCATTGAAAATACGGACTTTGTTGTTTACGTCAGTACCAGCTGCCACATCCTCCCAATCGATCCGCGTGTATTTTGTCAAGATCAATAGAATCTGTAGAATTTTATGAGGTGGTTTCGGAGGTTTCAGGATTTACTAACGGAAAATCAAGACGTGACGGGAAAACCCGGGGACAAGGAGTTGTCCGTGGGAAGAAAAAAGGTGTGGTGCATGGCTTGAAGGGGCAGGATATAAAGGCTGGTTGTTTGGATGATCTGAAGGAGATTGCGTGTACAAGGGCTAGGCTAGGAGGTCCTAGATAAGACGGAGGCCCTGTTATTTCATGGGCCCCGTCGTGGTCCACCCCCTGGCGCCTCAATCGTGGTCAACTCGGTCCTCGTACCGGTTCGGGCCCAGATGAAATATCTGGGCCTGATCCTCGACGGGAGGTGGCTCTTCGACGAGCACTTCCGACAGCTTGCTCCAAAGCTGGTCGGCGCTGCGTCTGCCCTAGGGCGACTTTTGCCCAATATGGGTGGACCCAGCGTCGCGACAAGACGGCTGTACATGGGGGTTGTCCGGTCAATGGCACTGTACGGTGCACCGGTGTGGGCGGCGGCTCTGACCGCCCAGAATAGGGTACGCCTCTGGCGCCCTCAGAGGGTAATGGCGGTCAGAGCCATACGCGGTTACCGCACCGTTTCGACGGAGGTGGCATGCGCGTTGGCCGGAACTCCCCCGTGGGATTTGGAGGCGGAAGTGCTCGCCGAAGTTTATCGGCGAGTGGCTGACTCCCGGGCGGAGAGCGGATTTCGCCCTCCGCCCGAGGATGTGCGCGAGTGGCGCGAAGCCGCTCGCCGAGCCACGATGGCTCGTTGGTCGTTCCGGCTGGAGACTCCACGCGCTGGCTTCGCCGCCGTGGAGGCTCTCCAGCCGGTCATCGCCGAGTGGGCAGGGCGGCAGCACGGGACCCTTTCCTTCCGGCTGACGCAGGAGCTTTCCGGGCACGGTTGCTTCGGAAAGTACCTGCACTCGGTCGCTAGGAGGGAACTGAGTCCCGCCTGCCACCACTGCGACTGCAGTGAGGACTCGGCCCAGCACACGCTGGCGGTCTGCCCCGCATGGGCGGCGCAGCGCCGGGCCCTCACCGCAGTCATCGGAGTGGATCTCCCGCTACCGGCCGTAGTACGCTCCATGGCCGGTAGCGACAGTTGTTTTACCGCGGTCGCAACCTTCTGCGAGGTAGTAATCTCGCGGAAGGAGGCGGCGGAGAGGGCCCGGGAGGACGACCTCCACTCGGACCCGATCCGCCGCCGGCGAACCAGGCGGCGGAGGCCCGCCTATCACAGCCTCATGCCGCCCTGAGTGTGGCCGCGGGTGGACGGGGTGGGTTTCCCCTCCACCCGCATTAGTTGGCCAGCCGCGAGGGGGCGGCGTCCGCGTGTGCCGGACGTCGCCTAAAGAGAGGAAAAAAAAAATATTGAGACGGAGCCCGCACCAGGAGCGGGCTGGCGCTAGGAGGGGTCCGGATGTCTTAACAACAGATGTTCCCGGATCCCTCCTGTTACAGGCGCAGAGTGGCACACCGTGTGGTTTTAGTCGGTCCGAGTCCGACACACCACCCCGCCGCAAACCCCGGAGGGGTGACGGTCCGAGGGGATTTCCACACGTTAAAAAAAAAAAAAAAATCGGGTAGGTATCGTTTTGCACTCTCCGGGGCCTGCTGGAGGATACGAGAGTATTAACTTTCTGCCGTATTCTTTTTCTTCCGCTTTCTGTATCGCCCTTTATAGCCAACAGGCCTTTGTAAAATGAGACGACAGAATCTCACGTACTTTCCCTTCAAACCATAGACAATCGGTAAAACGGTATTGTACTCCATGAAAAATGAGTGGCATATTTAAATTTAAGAAGCATTTCACAATACTTCTGTGAGTAATATAATAAATCGTACTAAAAATACGTCTCTTTTTAAAATTTATACTTGGATATGAAATCAAGGGACCTAAATACAAAAATGTATGTTTTGAGCGTACCTACCAATACGAAGATGGGGGTGTGATCTTTTCATATTTAGACAATCAAGTAATCTTGAAACAGACTGTATATTAATAAAGATTTTCCTCTTCGTATAAAAGTAACCACTTCATTGAGATAACGCATTAGTCGTTCTGGTGATTAAAACGTTGTTAAAACAATGAAGAAATTGTTAAACATAATAGCTATTGCGTTACTTTTCGCAATCAATCCAGGTATGTTTACCTGTACACCTTAGAGCTAATTCCTTAACCACAGTGTGGTGTGTGCTAACCCAAACATAATTAGATTAATTCTGATAAACAATATGAGGCACAAAAAATATATTATTGAATCAGACAACTAGAAATAGAAGATTTGGAAAAACTTAAAACATGGATTTATGCGAATAAGGATCGGATAGGACAACTGCTGTACTACCATGCTTAACGCAATCACACTGCAAGCCACTCTGTTTTATTAATAATTTATCTTCCTTTCTTTCCTTTTGAAGTAATTGAAAAAAGTGTTCTAGTTGTTATTTTTGTACCATTTACGAGTATGTTTATTTTAAGTTAAAATGTTGGGAGGATTATGTGCATGTAGAACTTTCGTTTTTTCTCACAAGTTAAGTTGAAAATACTTAGTTACATTGTTAAAATATCACCAAATATTTTAAATGGTGCCTAAATTTATACCCCATAGTGATAATTTCATAGAACTTTTGTTTATTTTAATTTATAAAGATATCAGCTTACACCTTAGTCACACCCTGACCTGTTTTTGTAAATTTTAGGTCCACAATTGTTCGATATGTAGAATCTATAACGTAGGTAATCGTAAATCGTGTCAAAATCTTAAAATAAATCCACCAATGCACCCGATTGCTGTTCCTATTATTCCATTCTAACGTAAAAGTCGAAAGAATGCAAATCATGCGTACACTTGTTAAAATCTAACTTCTGCGGCTGGTCCGTTATTAGTTAAAGATACGTAAATATATTATATGTAAATAAATTAAGGACTCAAAATTTGCAATGATTACATACTTTGTAGAAAAACGATTACATTGTTAACATGTTTTTATAATTTACTTTATTACTACATATAATAATAATAAAACCTTCATACACGCGGCCGTCTGATCTCAAACTAGGCAGAGCCTGCACTATGGTAACCAACCTGCTGATAAACATGCTTATACATTTCTAAATACATACATATTATGGATAAATTATATTACACCTAGACACAGAACAAATGCTCGTGCTCATCACACAAATATTTGTCCTGGGTGGAAATGGAACCCACGACCTCGGACTTAGGAGCCAGGATCACTAATTACTGGACCAGCATGCCCGTTAGTCACATTATTATGCAACTAGCTGGTAAACGCGACTTCGTTCGCGTGGAGTTTAAAAAGCGTTGCCTTAGTGGGTTTCTGAGAGGAAAAATAGCCTAAGTTACTCCTTATACAGACAGGTACTTGGTAGTAAAATAATATCAAAATCGGTCTAGCCGTTTAGAAGATTACCCGGAACAAACAGACAGACAGACAGACCAAAAAAAAACTGCAAATAACCGTGTGAGCATGAAAACACCTATGATTTTGACATTATAAACAGACACTTCAATTTTATTAATTTATATAAATAAAAATTCTCGGCGCTTCAGTTTGTATAAGCGCGATAAAGACCAAAAGTACCGCATGGATTTTCATACGGCTTTTACTAGTAGTTGAAGACATGAAGAAGTTGTAGGTGTATGAATAATTTTTGTCCTTATTGAAGATAAGAAGTCCATTCCACTGTTCCTAAAGAAATCGTAATATTAAATGAGACGTCATAATGAGGGTTTTGGAAGCATTGGTTAAAGCACAATGCCAATTAATTGTTCGCATGTTTCGATGCTATCCATAACATTTATCGATAGCTCATGACTTATCTTTATTGGTACCAAATACAGAAAATAATACAATACCTATATATTTGGATTTTTTTGTGCACGTGTATAGATTAAACAAATATTTTGTGGTATATACGATAAATTAATAATTTGTATTATGTAGTCTGAGAAAGAAGAAAAAAACATACTTATTGATATGTGGGTAACATACAAGTGATTATAATTCAAAACCATAACACAATCATTTAATACATAGATACAGAGTTATATACCATTTGTTGTATCACCTCGGTTTCAGAGCACCTCCCTAACTGCCTCAGCCAGTATCGGAATCCTAGGAATTATGCCTTGCATTGGCAATCCAAGGTCTTTAAGTAGGTTATTGTCCATGTGGTGACGGATTAAGAATAAAGAGTGTCACCACCCCTCTTCATCCCGTGGGTGTCGTAAGAACTGACTAAGGGAGTAAACTACGCAGGACAACAGCACTGCAATAAGAAGGAAAACTTGAAATGAACCCTATACCAACCCGTCTGGCCAGCGTGGTATAGTAGGCCAAAACCTCCTTTCTAAGAAGAGGCCTATGTCCAGCAGTGGACTAGTAAAGACTGTTGATGATGATGATGACAGGATATTAGCATAAAGTAGTTGGCAGTTCTCCGTGACAGAAACGATCTTATTTCGTCTTTCGACCAAGTATCGATCAATCACGCAACAATTTTTCATGTGTTTATTATTAAAGCATATAATTGTAATAAACTATATCAACCAATAGCCTGTAATAGTAGGAGATAGAGGTAGAGGTAGCGGAGGATATACTATATAATTTTAACATTTTAACTTTTGAAAACAGTATTTTTTTTGTATGAATAGTATCAAAAATAAAAGTCTATTCAATAGCAAAGCCGTGAAAGCCTAGCCATTTTTTTCTTTGTAACGATAATTTTAAGTTCTCCTGCACCTTTCATGTCTGTGAAAAAGTAAATTGTCTGATAAATGGAAAACAAATTCATTCTGAATTTTTTTACACACTTTTCAGTCGCGAAACCTAAGTTAATAAGTATTATTACTTTCAGTTCAAACAGAATTACAGTGTTATATCTGTACTAACTGTGCGCAACCCACCTCCGAGGACTTGCGAACATGTGGAGAACCTACGACCACAGTAGCATCTACGATAACACAATCTGCTCCTACAACTATCTCATCAACCACAATCGGGCCAACAACAGGACTTCCCAGTACACTGACCACAAACAATACCACAGAAACAACTGCTGAGTCAACCAAAGATGTATCGGATGAAACAACCACTGAAAATAAAACAGATTTATCAACCGCGACAGAATCTACTCTTACAACAGACCCGATAACTGATCAAATAACAATAACTGGACAAATGACAGTGTCAACAACTGAACAAACTACGATCCCGACAAGTGAACCAACCACAGTCCTTACAACTGAACAAACCACAGTGTCGACAAGTAAACCAACCACAGTAACAGCTAGTGAACTAATTACAGTCCCGAACACTGAAAATACCTCATTCCCCATAGCTGAAACAACCCTAGCCCCCACAACTGAACCAATCATAGACCTTACAACTGAACAAATCACAGTTTCAACAACTGAAATGACTACACTATCGACAAGTGAGCCAACCACAGTAATGGTAACTGAAAAAACCACAGTACTTACAGTTCAACCTACCACAGAACCCACAACTGTCTCCACAATGGACAGAACAACTGAAATAACCACAAAATCCACAACTGAGCTAACCACAGACCTGACATCTGACCTAACCACTGGCTCGACGACTGAAACAATTACAGCCCCGATAGCTACAGATAACATCAATTATGCCGAAGAATATGTAATTAGCAGAAATAAATGTTTCTGTTACGCAGTAAGTTCCGAACGTTAGCTAATGTAACATAGAACCTTTTTATTTCTGTTATGAGGCTCTATCACCTCCTACTGTTTTTTAATTGACTGCGGCAAAGCCTCACATTATCACCACTTAACTACTAGACGGAGGAATTGAGGTTAATAAATAATAAATCGTTATATTCCTTTTTATACCGAGCATCACTCGGCTATCACAATGGTGCATTAGCGGAATATCAAAAAGGAGGGTTTGTATCTGTCGTTGCTTTCAAAATACTTTTTAAGACACCCACGGGATGAATAGGAGTAACATTTCGTATTCTTAATCCGTCACTACAAGGACATAAAGTAAACCATTTTAATTAACTATTATATTTTCAGGGCAAATGTGACTGTAATGACCAATACTCAGCAATACTTTTTGATGAGAACATCTCACCTAGTAATCGTACTGTATCATACCTATGTTACAAGCACACTTACACAGGTAAGCTTATAACCCTTATCTCGTACTTTAATTAAGGTAGAATCTGTGCATTTCTATTTCCCTATGTTTTCTTCTCTTTGCAGTTGATGGCCGCGAGGTGGTTGATCGAGGATGCAAAGCAAACGTTCAAAATGAGACAGCGTGTTCTGAATTTGAAGCGGCTGACAACTGTGAAGCTTGTGATACAGACGGATGCAACTCCTCATTTACCCTGCAGTTTTCAATCGGTTTACTAATATGTACAATAAGCGTATTACATAAGCAAATGTGGATCTATATTTAACATACATTTACCATACATCTATAAAAATAATAAATTATGTTGTTTTTGAGCTTTTTATTTCAATTATTTGTATACACGCACATAAGATATTTAAGAGGTTTTACAAATCTACATAAGATAATTACTTTTGATGGACATGGAAGGTGATATCCTATTTTTTTTAACTGGAAACCCCCCCGAGCCGTCATCCACCCCGGGGTTTTGCGAGGGGGGGGGGGGGTGCGCTACTCTGCGCCTGTAATAGGAGGGATCCGGGAACTGAGGTACGTGATACCCTCTGAGGAGTCCAAAGGTGCGCCGTATTTTGGGCGGTCAGAGCCACTGTCACAGCGGTGCACCGTAACCGTACAGTGCCATTAACCGGAGAACTCCCGTGTACCAGCCCAGATACTTCGTCTGGGCTTGAACCGGTACGAGGACCGAGTTGACAACGATGGCGGCGCCAGGGGGAGAACCACGACGGGGCCCATCAACTAAAAGGGCCTCCGTGTAATCCAGGGTCACCCGTAAGCCCAGCGCCTCAATGCGCCCGACCACCAGAGAGAATCCCCTGGTGGCCAAGCATGCCACCTCTTGAAAGTTGGCCCCGCCGGGCTGTGACCATTGATCATATCATCGGCGAATTCAAACTCAAACTTTCTTTATTTCATAAATTGTTTGTCATAGATCAATACACAAAAAAGCAACAATCTCTGTTTTGTCAAATATGAGAAATTTAATAAAAATAAAACTTATATCCTCCACCTCCGAATCCCGGACGGGCGAGACTGAACATGGACCTTGAAGTCCCCCCCCCCCCAGTAGTGATCCCCCCCACTCAGCAGCAACATATCCAGTGCCCTTGCCTCTTAGCGACAAGGGCGGGGAGACTCGGTCAAAACCACTAACACACTTGACGCGTGTGTGTCCATATGCCTGACATTTAAAACACCTCATCGATCTCGCTCCAGGACTATGATCCTAGCGTTCATGAAACCGATGAGCAGCTTCCCTGCCAAAATTTTGGCCGACGCTATGGGACCAAGTTTTCCTGGACCGAGGCGGATGGTGCCGACCCTGATGTTATCCGCGTTGCACTGAGTCTTCTCTCGCATTGCAACGCGGACATCCTCGGCCGTTACGGAGTCGTCCGTGCCCGAGATGCGCAGCTCGGCTCACTTAGTAGGCCTGGCGATCTTCACACCATCCACTAATACCTACAAGTATTTTCCGCAGTTTCGTGTGTTCGCCGTCTTTGCGCCTTCAGTGCCAGGGAACTCGAGGACTCGAGCTCCCGTCTGGGTGATGCGCATTCTGACACCTACCACCCCGAAATCATGTGTGAGACTGTCCCGGGCCTTGTTAAAGACGGCCGCGTAATACAGCCCATCGTTAGCAGCCTCCGGTGTTACGGTGACCACTACAGCCGCGGTTTTGAGCGGCTTTCTCTTAGTGGCCACCGCCACCAATGGCGACTGCGGGGTAGAGACTGGTTTTTGGGCTCCATTTTACCTCGCTTTCGGAACTTCTTAGCCCCCAAGACAACCTGCCAACCATCGGTTGACAGAGCAGATGTAGAGAGGCCAGGTGCAGGTGTTGGAGTCGGGAGCTGAAAAATTTCCGCTCCAGTCTTTGCCAACGTTCTAGGCCCCGCCATCGATGCAGCCATCTTGGCGATCGATGACGATCGATGACGAAACGGTGTCGGTGCCGACGTGACTTTGAGCGTATCTCCTGCGAGCGGCAGACGAACAACAGGTGCCAGCCTTGCCTTCAGGCCGGCGAGACACCCGTCCGTCATACGCCACACTGGGATTAGAGTCTCGAGACATAACCACGACACTCCTACCTTCATTACGATGTGCAACGGAGGCAAGGAGACTTAGTCCCCATAGCCTGCTTGATGGCAGTGTAAGTGCTCACCGAGGGCGTCGTCGTTCCTCCACTTTGAACAGAGGAGCAACCATCGGTTTTATCTTGTATTTATGTAAAACTAACTCATTGGAGTTTTGTGGATTTATCTAATACACCATAAAACACTTAAATTTAGCTCCGATAAACTAAAATAATGTTTACCTACATGTCATGATAATGTAAATTTGACGTATTATAACATCAAAAGTTACTTCTGACATGTGGACAATAATGTATAATTAAGCATTGAGAACCCCGTCATCAAGTGACAAAACGGAACAAGCAGTCCACTGCTGGACATAAGCCTCTCCCATTGCACGCCACTTAGATCGATTTTGGACTTCTCGCATGCAGCTCCTGCCAGTCATCTTGCGCAAATCGTCACTACACCTGGCCTGTGGGCGTCCTACACTACGTTTGCTGAGACGCGGTCTCCACTCAAGAACTCATTTTCCCCAACGGTTGTCTGTCCTGCGGCGAATATGGCTGCTTGCTGATCCGGTAGGTTATGTCGGTGACCTTGGTTCTCTGCCGGATCACCTCATTCCTGATGCAATCCCTTAGAGAAACGCCGAGCATAGCTCTTTCCATAGCACATTGAGCGACTTTGAACGTGTGGACCAGCCGTACCGTAAGTGTCCACGTTTCGGCTCCGTATGTCATGACGGGTAGGACCCACTCATTGAAGACTTTATTTATACATATGTTATCTTAATTGATTTTTGTACAAAGTTATCTATAATATTATCCTTATCTGTGTCGCTAGAAAAATACAGTATGTTCAATAAATAAAAATAAATAAAATAATTGAAACGTAAACGTGAAAAATGGAAACTATTATGTACAGAAAATGTTTGTGTAATTATGGTTTATTAAAGTAAACCGTTAGTATGGTATATAAAAGTTTATAATCACAAAATTAATATAAAATGTAAACGTTTTCAAAATGTTTCAAAATGTCTCAAAATATTTATATCACTCAAATATATATTTTTATCTGAGAAAAATGATGTGTTTCATAAAAATTATCATATCAATATCATCATATATCAATATCATATTTTATGATAAAAGTTTAACCGTTTTTTTTTTGTATGAAATATTTAGGTTATACTGATGTACAATTACAGATCAATAGTTGATTGCATTCTCGCTACGAACCCAGTCTAGCAATGGTTTAACAGTTTTGATTCTATGCACCAAGTTTCTGAAAGTTTTCTGTTGAATGATATATAAAATAACAACTCTAAAAATACAGTTGTGATATAAAGTTATTACTTTTATGAGCACCATGTGTATAAAAGTACTTTGTTAAATTATATCTTTATAAAAACCGAATATAAAAGATAGTTCATTTGTGGAAGTTGCACGCAAACTAAAACAAAGCAATGGTCAAAATATTTTATGTATTTACGATTGTGGCATTTTGTGCAATCAATATAGGTAAGATTTTTTTCTAGTGTTTCCACTCTAAACTATCTCTTAATTTGTTCTGTTTACAAAATCTACAAGCTGTGCTTTTTAATCCGTGAATATAAGTGTGGGTGCAATATAATTTACATAATATAAAGCGTTTTAGTGACAAGTTCAATCTATAAATGTTAGTCTTCTGCCTAAATATGCTTCGCGTAGTTGCAAAACAAGTGTCAAATTAACACTTCAGGTATAGAAGAGTGTACATTGTGGTCTTGGAGGCATCACTGTGTGTAAGCATTTCTCTGTTAGATAATTCGGTTTGTTGTCCCCGTTAAGCATAATTTATTGAGTTTTATTCTTGACTTTTGAACTTTCTTGACTTGATTTGAAATGTGTTTGATATTTTCTTTTAACCCATAATGATATATATCGTATTAAGGCCTCATTAATATATATAGGGAAATACACTAATGTATTAGATGTGTTTACATGATTCCACAACTACTACAGTTGTAAACCCAAACCGAATGTTGTATTATTTTAATTTGTTGCATCATTTAAAAAATAACATGCATGAGAATAGTTTACTAGTCTTAGACTTCAACTTTAGTAGGTATAAAATTTTCAATTCGGCTGTTTTTTTTGCTTTGCACCTTGCAAATCTGCCGTTTATATGCCGATTTGAAAAATTCTATTTTTATTGGAAAGGGTATACTGGTGAAATATCATTCGAAGGAAAATCCCTCTCCTAAGGGTGAAATTAAGTAATGAAGAATAGACTGTCTAAAACAATTCATCATGATGAAAGCTCATTGAAGTTAGAAATATTTGGAAAAAATATCTTGATGATGTTATAAATTTCATTCGCAAGGTAATTATTAATTTGTAATTAGCCATGCCTGTTTTGCTAGATCTGGTCAGTGTATGACTTTTACCGGGTTGTTCCGTCTTATTCCCACTAAATCTCATCCCACTATGTCATTTGCTTAACTCATCCCAATTTTTTTATACATACCTATAGATTCCTATTATAACGAACAAAAATGACATGAAAAATAGATAAAAACTTTGTATTTCGTGTCAAATTTGAGCTGCATTGGTGAAGAACTTTTTGAGTTTCTGAAGTGTACACAAACTAACTTATCGTTTTTATATAATATATAGATAAATTTTATAAATATGACTTTGTATAAATAAATTTTATTTTAGTTTAACTTAAAAAAAAAACATTTTTAGGTCAAACCATTGTCGATCTATTACTATCTGCCTTTTATAGGTCAACATATAAAAACTGTGATGTGTGTACATGTGTGTACATAACATTAATTGTTAACATTGAACCAAATGTTACTATCCTTTAATTATAATATAAATGTGATATGTATCTGGACAACATTTATTGAGCAACTTTGAAGTTCCCCCTGATGTACTCATAGCGAAACTTGTCTTTGAGTCTTGTCTCCTCCTGCCCATCGTAGCATACGCATTTCCGTTGTAAAGTAAAGTAGCGCAGGTCTAACAGCCGTCTTATAAACCTTGCCCTTAGTTGTTATGGCATTTTAATGTCACACAACATTACAGTCAAGGTACGCCACTTATTCCACCCTGTCATTGTCCTATGAGTTACTTCCGCTTTAATTGATCCATCATCTGAGAGCAGTGATCCTAAGTATTTGAAGGATTTGGCTCTTGGTAGTGCAGTGTTGTCAAGCGGTGCTAGCGCTATCATTTGGGTTGAAATTGCAGAACATATATTCAGTCTTAGTTCTGCTGATGCGTAGGGCATTCAGTTATAATGAACGTCTCCACTGCCCTAAGTCTTCTTGGATCTCCTGAAGGTTATCGGAAATAAGGGCTATATCATCAGCATATAAGCGGTTCCACGGTGTGGGACGTTGGATTTTTGTGGTGAGATAATTTATGACGATGTTAAATAGTAGGGGACTAAGGGCACTCCCCTGATGAGCACCAACTTTAATGCCAAAACTTTTAGGTGATCCCATTAGGGTTCTGACGCTTGGTGGACATCGCTGTACATGTCCTTTATGAGCCTTATATAGCATTCAGGGACTCCATGTGCCCTCAGAGCCTGCCATATTATTGTCCTTGGTGAGTACCAAGGACAATAATATGGCAGGCTCTGACCTAGAGAAGGCCTTTGACCGAGTGGTCAAAGGCCTTCTCTAGATCTATAAATAGGAGCTAAAAATTTTGCTTGTTATCTCGTGCTTTCTTCAGTACCGCGTGGACAGCATCTGTGGTACCTTTCCCTGCTGTGGAGCCGAATTGGTTTTCTGTTACCGTGGCAAGTTTTATGAGGCGCTCAGATTTTCATTAACAATATTACACCATTAACAAAACAAAAATAAGCCCAGAATCGAACCTTGTGGAATACTGTTAATGACTAAATCTTCCAAATCACCTGTCAATTCATAAAACATACAGTCCCTTAATATTTATCTACGTTTGTAACTCTACTGTTGAGACTGACACGTCGTACATGTTTCAATTGTTCGCATTTTTGGGTGATACGTTTTTTTATTGGATTAATTTTTGTTTGTAAACATTTTTTGCTGTCGCAAAAGTCGCCTTAGAGCTGACGTTTTATTTAATATCTCTCACTCTAGTAGTGTTTTCAACCAGTAACCAAATATCAACATCTAGGTTACTGCAAAAATATCTACTTACTGTAGGCGTAATCAAGAACAAACCTCGCGAATACCACATGGGGTGGTTATGTCGGACTCGAACCGACTAAAACTGTACGGAGTCTCGGGTACCAGTAGTAGGGGAACGAGGTGTATCCTAGAAAGGAATCCCTGGTACCCCGACGTAATTCGGGCCGTCTATGGTTTGAAGATGACCCCCTCCTGTGGGAGAACCCCCATGTCACTCCTAGGCCTGCGCTTATGGAGGACGAAGGTCTCTCAGCAACCTCTGGCGCCTAAGTCGTCTGCGACACTTGGCCCGTTCCCGCTCAACAGCAAACCTAGTTATTTCATGTGCAAAAAAACTTAAGTTAAATTTCTATTTTAACCTCCTTTCTAAGGAGAGGCCTATGTCCAGCAGTTTACTATTAAAGGCTGATGATGATGATGTGAAGTTAAATTTTAGAGGGTACATTTAAATTTCCTATAGTTTTTGTTATAGCACAGTAATAATGTTTTAAGTGCCACTTATTTTTTTTTATGGAATATGGGGCAAACCAGCAGACGGGTCACCTGATGGAAAGCAACTACCGCCTCCCATGAACGACTGCAACTTAGGAGTCACAAGCGCGTTGCTAGCCTTTGAGGAGGGAGTACGCTTTTTTCTTGAAGGTCGAATATGATATTTGAGTATTAATGGACTTTTTTTTTATTGTAGCTATTGACAAGTATACTCGTAATATAACGTTACCGTTCATAGATAAGTTTGTAATCATTGATTATGATATGTTATCATAATCAAATAAAAAGAACATTTTATAAATCTTTTGCCTTTTAACAGATGCCTAAAAATAGTTTTAAAGAAGCGGATAGTGAAATTTTACCTATATATATCATATAGATAGATATCGAGCGAAGTCCAGTTTCGGGGTCACTTAGAGGGTAAGGTTAAATTGACCTCTAAAAAGCTCGGTGTGCTGAACAGATCTATTCACTCCGGCCCACCGCCTTCAGCTCTATAAGGCAAAAGTCTGGCCTCATATGTAATACTGTTCTCATCTCTATGCAGGGGCACCTCAGTACCAGCTTCTCCCTCTGGACCACATCCAAAGAAGAGCGACTCGAATCGTCGATAACCCAAACATCTCCGATCGGCTCGATCCCTTGACGTTACAGAGAATGCAGAGTGAAGCCACATCTCTATGTGACTTCACTCTGCATTCTCTATTGCATTTATTATGGAGAGTGCTCCGAAGAATTGTTCGGACTAATACCAGCCGCAACTTTCGGCCCATCGTTCCACACGGCAAAATTTTCATACTCATCACCTATTTTTTTTTTCTGTGCGTGTATCCCCTCGGATACCACTTACCGGTGGGGCAATGTCGGACTCGAACCGACTTAAACCGCACGCCGTCTCAAGTACCACTAGTCGGGCAACCAGATGTACCCTAGAAAGGAAAACCCTGGTGTCCCGACATACCTCGGGCCATTTACGGCGGGTAGACGACCCCCCCCTTTGCTCCCGGAAGGGCGCGCGCGCTTCACAACGCGCTCTCCGCCACCCAGGCCTGTTTCTGCTGATGAGGCCTGGGGGTGACAGATGGCCTCACCTGTCACCCTCAGGCCTCATCCTAGGATAGTTTGCGCACCACTACTGTGCGCTTTTCGAGACACTTTTTGCCCCGCACAACCAATTTGTGAAACGGGTTATCGTCTGCGGTATTTCCGGACCTTCAAAATCAAACCTTCAAAAAAACGTGCGTACTCCTTCTCCGCGTACGTGTACGCGTACGCGTTTCTTCTTGTCGTTTACTCCTTCCTAAAAGGCCGGCTACGCGTTTGTGACTCCTGAGTTGCAGACGTTCATGGGCGGCGATGGTCACTTTCCATCTGGTGACCTGTTTGCTCGTCTGCCCCATCTAATATAAAAAAAAGTAACTTACACAAACCCAAACCAATTTGGCCTGGGATAATCACCTTGGACAAGACAGAGTTTCTATAAGGCCACTTTTGACGCTCATAATGTATTTTTTATTATTTAGTTTAGGTCGGACATCAATTCGGTGTAGGCAGAGGAATTTTTATTTTCTTGATATTGAACTCCACAAACTTTTAGGAATCTACTTCACTGGTCAGATTTATTTCTTCAAGGGACGTCCATAAGAATACATTAAGAACTCATATATACATACACACATATAATATACAGTACAACTACTTATTTCATCTTTTAACAGAATTTTCATTCTAGTAGTCTAGTAAGAATTCCAAAGAACTTTTCGATTTCAAACTCCGAAGGTTCTTTTTACAATTTTTATCATACAGGTCTTTGGGAATGTTTTTAATTGAAAGTTTTAAAAACAGTTTCAGGATGAGAGGATATTTTCTAATTAGCTCTTTATCTGCCAAGAGTAGTAGCAGGTTAAATGTATTTATTTTGTAGAGCAAATCGTTAATAAGAGATTTCAAATACCTACTTGCAATTCCCGTATGACTTCTTATAATATGCATCTTTTGAATCGCAGTTCTTATTTTAATACCACAGTCTTTTTAAGAGTTCCACATATTCTTTGGACCTAATTGGCGTTATCGCATATCATTCTTAACCTAATTGATTAACTGTTTGACTCGTTAACCAGTTACTAGTTAACTGATTTGACAGAACCTTTTAAGAAGCCCAACTTGAATTACAAAATTATACGTACTTGCCATTACTGAGTTGAAGATGTCAATGGGCGCCTGTAGTGCGCCTCGTTTGCCTCTATATCATAAAAACATATACTATTACATATACATACATTCAATAAGTATCTCTCCAGGAAAGATAGCTAAAAGCGTTTCACTCACCAGTACACTACCGACGTGAACCCCTAACACAAGCAATTTAGCTTAGCGGGAGGGGTTAACGGGAATACTAGTAATTTCGATTGCTAGTAGACTTTTAAAAAAGAAAAAAAAAGGAAAATGCTAAAATAATACTCCCTCAATTTTCTTTTACAACTGGCTCTGTTTGTCTCCTGTCTAATAATTTTCAGTAGGCTGTTACGCAAATAAAGCAGTCTTTTATCTATGATTTGGAACGGAACGATGGCGGAAATTTTGCGGCTGATATTAGTCCGAACGTAAAAGTTGTTTGCTCCCTTAGTCGGCTCTTACCACTCCCACGGGTTAAATACGGGTGGTGACAATCCGTATTCTTAATCCGTCACCACACAGTCCGTCCGTGACCACCGCAGAGACTATTGACATTCCTAAGGTGACAGGCTCTAGGTAGGCAGTCAGAGGAGGTCCACTCTCAAATTCTTGTTTTAAGTTACAGCGCACTTCTTCTTGTCGTTTATATGGTTATCTCCTTTTATATAACACGTTCAATGTTATTAGTGCCTCTGTTCTTGCCCTTCGATGAAATTTAGCAACACGGTTCTTTTGGTTAACTAACTCTATATATTACATGCTGCCTGTAAGGTTTAATGTATATAAACATTGAAAGACCGGTCAATATTGTTTTCATTCACTATTTTACCACTATAGCTATAGGTGAACCACTTTTCTATGTAAAGGACTGTGATTTCCATTTGATTTCTCATTCTTTTTTAGTCTCTTTTAATTAGTTTATCAAGTGCTACATAACGTAACATAAAACGTACAATACTGCTACGTTAAATATTAGTGAACGAGTAGGAGATCTGTAAATGAGTAATAAAAGCATGAAAGAACAAACACGATTCACAATCAATACAATTTGTTATACGAGTACTACCAAATTTTTAATATATTGGTCAAATTTATTTTTCACTTATTTTAATTTGTTTAAAAAGACTCCTTTCACATGATAGTTAATATTGCATCGAACTCCGACGTCTGAATGCTGTCTTCTAAAATATAGACTATTGCCTAGTCTGGAACAGTTCTCGGTACTGTCAAAATACATCTTGCAAATATGTTTACGAAAATGTGTCTCCAGTGATTTTTTATGTATTTATCTTGTGTCAAACTTATATTATTATTTTCTTTTACTTATATGATATAATATAGTCAATAGCACGGGTTTCAAATAAATAAATAAATAAATAACATAAAAATGTATAACAAAAGCTTTAATTGTTCCAGTTAACTCACAATTACAGTGCTATGTCTGTACAAACTGTCCACTACCTAGTTCAAACGACTTACAAACATGTGGACCACCGACAACCACAACGATAATCCCCACAAGTGAATTAAGTACAGAATCATCAATTGAACCGTCTTCGTCTACGACTGAACCATCTACAGAATCATCGATTGAACCGTCTTCGTCTACGACTGAACCATCTACAGAATCATCAACTGAACCATCTACAGAGCGATCAAGTGAACCGTCGACTGAATCATCTTCACAACCTTCAACTGAACCGTCTACGGAATCCTCAACTGAACCATCTACAGAATCGTCAACTGAACTATCCACAGAGCCATCTACTGTACCATCTACAGAACCGTCGACTATACCGTCGACTGAGTCGTCTTCAGAACCTTCAACTGAACCGTCTACGGAATCCTCAACTGAACCATCTACAGAATCGTCAACTGAACTATCCACAGAGCCATCTACTGTACCATCTACAGAACCGTCGACTATACCGTCGACTGAGTCGTCTTCAGAACCTTCAACTGAACCGTCTACAGAATCCTCAACTGAACCATTTACAGAATCGTCAACTGAACTATCTACAGAGCCATCGACTGTACCATCTCCAGAATCGTCATCTGAACCATCTACGGAATCATCAACTGAACCATCTACAGTATCGTCAACTGAACTATCAACAGAGCCGTCTACTGTACCACCTATAGAATCGTCAACTGAACCATCTACAGAATCGTCAACTGATCTATCTACAGAGCCCTCCACTGCACCATCTACAGTACCGTCAACTGAACCATCTACGGAATCATCAACTGAACCATCTACAGAATCGTCAACTGAATTATCTACAGAGCCGTCTACTGTACCATCTACAGAATCGTCAACTGAACTATCTACAGAGCCGTCTACTGTACCACCTATAGAATCGTCAACTGAACCATCTACAGAATCGTCAACTGATCTATCTACAGAGCCGTCCACTGTACCATCTGCAGTACCGTCAACTGAACCATCTACGGAATCATCAACTGAACTATCTACAGAGCCGTCTACTGTAGCATCTACAGAATCTTCAACTGAACAATCTACAGAATCATCGACTGAATCGTCAACTGAACTATCTACAGAGCCGTCTACTGTAGCATCTACAGAATCGTCAACTGAACTATCTACAGAGCCGTCTACTGTACCACCTATAGAATCGTCAACTGAACCATCTACAGAATCGTCAACTGATCTATCTACAGAGCCGTCCACTGTACCATCTACAGTACCGTCAACTGAACCATCTACGGAATCATCAACTGAACTATCTACAGAATCGTCAACTGAATTATCTACAGAGCCGTCTACTGTACCATCTACAGAATCGTCAACTGAACTATCTACAGAGCCGTCTACTGCATCACCTACAGAATCCTCAACTGAACTATCTACAGAGCCGTCTACTGCATCACCTACAGAATCGTCAACTGAACTATCTACAGAGCCGTCTACTGTACCATCTACAGAATCGTCAACTGAACCATCTACGGAATCATCAACTGATCCATCTACACAATCGTCAACTGAACTATCTACAGAGCCGTCTACTGTAGCATCTACAGAATCGTCAACTGAACTATCTACAGAGCCGTCTACTGTACCATCTACAGAATCGTCAACTGAACTATCTACAGAGCCGTCTACTGTACCATCTACAGAATCGTCAACTGAACTATCTACAGAGCCATCTACTGAACCATCTACAGAATCCTCAACTGAACTATCTACAGAGCCGTCTACTGTAGCATCTACAGAATCTTCAACTGAACAATCTACAGAATCATCGACTGAATCGTCAACTGAACTATCTACAGAGCCGTCTACTGTAGCACCTACAGAATCGTCAACTGAACTATCTACAGAGCCGTCTACTGTAGCACCTACAGAATCGTCAACTGAACTATCTACAGAGCCGTCTACTGTAGCATCTACAGAATCGTCAACTGAACTATCTACAGAGCTGTCTACTGTAGCACCTGCAGAATCGTCAACTGAAGTATCTACAGAGCCGTCTACTGTACCATCTACAGAATCTTCAACTGAACAATCTACAGAATCATCGACTGAATCGTCAACTGAACTATCTACAGAGCCGTCTACTGTAGCATCTACAGAATCGTCAACTGAACTATCTACAGAGCCGTCTACTGTAGCATCTACAGAATCGTCAACTGAACTATCAACAGAGCCGTCTACTGTACCATCTACAGAATCGTCAACTGAACTATCTACAGAGCCGTCTACTGTACCATCTACAGAATCGTCAACTGAACTATCTACAGAGCCGTCTACTGCATCATCTACAGAATCGTCAACTGAACTATCTACAGAGCCGTCTACTGTAGCACCTACAGAATCGTCAACTGAACTATCTACAGAGCCGTCTACTGTACCATCTACAGAATCGTCAACTGAACTATCTACAGAGCCGCCGACTGTAGCATCCACAGAATCATCTACAGAATCTTCAACAGAACCACCAACAGAATCATCGACGGTACCATCGACTGAACCATCTACAGAAACATCAACTAATCCATTTACTGATTCTGAAGCTAAAGGGAAAAAGTATCGTCGAAGTGTTGGAATTGATTCACCTTTCAACCAAGGATGTATTTGTTACAATGTAAGTTTGTAAGAGTATTTAACTTAATTAGATTATTTTCTTTTTTGGAAAAGTTTACACCGTTTATTAAGCAGTAAAACAGTCAGTCTAAGAGTTTTTTATATGGCTATATTTATCTTTAATGCCAAAGAATCAATTTCGTTTGCTTTATCACAAAGTTGAAAAGTTTGGAATATAATTTTGCAACATATCGCAAAATAGCTATAATTTAACGCATTGAGAGTTTTTGCCGAATAACGCGATAGTCGGTAATATTTGGTTGCTCGATCTCGTCACTTAAGCCTTAAAACTTAGTATTATCTGTATTTCATTTTGTTTATAAATTTACATTTTATAAAAGAACCTGTTGTTGGGATAAAAATAATCAAATCAATTGAAAATAAATTTCGAATTTTTTCAACGTCCTACATTTAAATTTATTCACAGTTCCGGCATTATGAAAAGTACAAAAAGACGTGTAAAATTTAATAACATACCTATCACTGATTAAAATTGGTAAAATTTTGTGACTGCATTGATTTACATTTTAGGGGAAATGTGACTGCAGCGGTAAATACGCCTCTATGTATTTTGAGAAAATTGACGCCGAAGGGTTTATTGAGGGAACTAATTCCCCAGTATTTATTGAAGAAACTGACTCACCAACGGCTGTAACGTACCAATGCTACACACATACCCATACAGGTGACTATTAAGTTTTTTTAAGGTTATGTTTTTTCCTTAAAAATAAACTTCTCACATTTTAAAATTAGCCACTCACATATTATTTTAAGTAAAATGTAAACGTAAGTAAATAAATGTTATTAATATCTATGAGCCTATGTCCAGCAGTGGACTATTAAAGGCTGTCGATGTTGATGTTGAATATCAATTTGATCACAGCAAACTATTTGAATTTTAAATTCTTTTGATTCCTGCATCGAAAAATTGGTTTATCAACCAAGATATTAGTAACCTGTTCTGATAATTATTTATTAAGGTTACATAATTATTAAATTAAAGAAAAAATCTAAATTAAATTAACATACTTGATGCTTGATGTCACTCTACATTCGATACATAATAAGAAGTACTTTGAACTGCTGCAATATAATCTTAAACAACCAGCTTTTAGTATAATCAGCCTCAGTAGAATTTGCATTAAAAAAAAATCCTCAATTTTGATTAGCTTTCGCTGAACCTTTTTTTCAATTAAATTGAATGAAGTAATCCTTGCATGAAACAGGATTGCCTCGCATCATAAAACGAATTCGTGAACTCTATTATTTTCATGGACAACTCACGCTTGACCAGAAAAGTAGACATTAAAGTTTTTTTTAAATAGTAATACAATAAACTTGTTTTGAGCCATGTGAACGTTATGTATCATTTTTACATTTCTAACTTCTGTGATCAAGTTTCATACAAACTTTCAACCCTTTCTTTAACCCCTTAGGGGCTGAATTGAAAAAAAAACCAATTAGTCCACACTTACATAATCAAAGGAAGATTTATGCAAAATTTCATGCTTCTAGACTTAGTGGTTTCAGCTGTGCGTTAATCGATCAGTCAGTGCATCAGCCAGTTTGTTCATAATTTTATATTATGTACATACATATATGGGCCGGGCCACTGACAAGAGCTTGGGTCTTGTCAGTGGCTGAAGATATGCATATAGATATAATACTGACAATTAAAGTCGCGGATACACCAGTGAAAACTGGAGACTTTTCGCTTGAAGTCGTTGACGACTACGTGGGGTTATAAGCATTTTAACAGATTCTCACTTCACCAGATTTTTAATTTACCAGATTCTCAAACAAAGCTATATTTTCAAGCCACAACAGAAATCAAAATAAAAAAACGTTTATTTTACAATCTCCAGTTGTATTATTTGTATTTGTACATATTTACAGTAATATCGGCTTTTCTCTTTTATTTTCAATCAATTTTAATTATATTCCATCTATGATAAAATTCACACACACACTATTATCTATAAATAAATTTCACATGCAAATACAATTATTCGATAATTATTAAATACAATAAGTATCATAGGGATACACATTTCCTGTTTGATAGTATAAAATCTGGTTTGTTTACAATCTGGTGAGTTGCAAATCTGGTGATTTAAGAATCTGGTAAACTGCTCATAAGGGCTCAGAACAAGAATTTGTGGATGACACAAAGTGTTGTCCCATGTGGGGATCGGACCCTCAGCATTCAGCGCAGTAGGAAGCGACGGGGTGACCGCTAAAACTACTACACCATCTGTACAGTCTAATAGTATAACCTTCACTATTTCTATTGCAAATTTTTAAATTACTTTTTTTTGTTTTTTTTCAGTTGATGGTTTTAATGTTATTAATCGAGGATGCAAAGCAGTTCCCCTCAATGAAACAGCATGTTCCGTACTCAACGCCCCAGATAATTGTCATTCTTGTGACACAACCGGATGCAACTCAGCAATTAGCCTTCAACTTTCAATCAGCTTATTGATGATTTCAATATTTATATTACATTTTCATACGGCGATGAACTATTAGTGTATCGCATAAACGATATTTGTTGAAATTGTCTCAATTTTATTTCTTGTGAGAATATAGTTATAGGAAAGGTCTCTTGTGGATCTCGTACGGGTTACTATCGTGATTAGATTTTTTTAAAGATATTTGTTTATTATTATAATATATTGTACTTTCAAGGATAAAGATAATGTTTATTTATGTTATACTTACAAATGTAGATATATAAATACAGCGTTCGTGGAACACAATCCCTACAAAATATTATCAAATTTTTTTATACGACAAGTTTCTTTGGTATTATTATTGCTAACACAGCACAGCTACAGCAACAAGATTAAATGTGACAAAATATTTCAATAAGATGCAAGTCTTCCAATAATTTTTCAAGAAATCCGTCCACTTCACTTGCAGTGTTTATTAAGTTGTTAAATAGAAACGAGAAGCTAGAAACTAAAGAGAATCAGGGACCTATTATAAATCAATAAAATGTATGTGTAAAAATTAGAAATGTAACTAAGTACACATCGATATGATATCACTTCACTTATTTGTTGAGGATCTGTCCGTCAAGCAGGCCCATGTTTGCCGAAACATGTTCTCCCACAGTTTTAGATATTATATTAGATATTAAACAGTAACTGTATTTTATTGTGATGTCAAAGAATGTATTTATGTAAATAAATATAATAGCTAAATACAGCATAGAACAACAGCAGTATAGTTTAAACTATACAGTTTAAACTAGCCAGTATTGGCTAAAAACTAGTGCAGTTTTTAGCCAATACTGGCTAAAAACTGCACTGTTATTGTTCATATTATATTTAAAATTGTTAATATTATAGAAATGCAGTAATAGTGTATAAGTACTAATTTTTTTATGAATCTAAAATATCCACTTATGTAACATTGGTATTAAAAGTAATAAAAATATATTTTGATAAAGCTTATGAGTTTTTCGTGAAAATAAATTATGAAAACCTAAGTAATGTTTTGCAATGTATGTGACATTGCAAAAACCATTGCAGTAAATACGCAGGTTACAAAAATGTTTGGAAGTTATTGCTGTTACTAACATAACACCAAAAGAGCCATAAAATAAAACAACTTGGAAACCAGAAAGTAAAATGACTGTCAGTATAACTGGGAGGACTATAATTAATAATAGAATACTTTGAGCACCACTTTAAAATATATGACAGATAATATTGAATTCGGTTTGAGAACTCAGACTTGTCTGCAACAGGCAGTTTGGGTTTTTTTTATATATTTTTTACGAGTTACGAGCAGACGGATCACCTGATGACAAGGACACCCATAGACATATGCAACTCAAGAGTCATAAGTGAGTTGACGCTCTTTGAGTCCCTGCCCCAGACTCGGAGGTTGCGCTTCGGCAACCTCAGTCACTCGATGAAACACAACGACAGAATTGTTTAACTTTCTGTTAAAAAAATATTTTCACTTCTCACGTAGAAACATGCAGGACAACAGCACTGCAAAGCACTGCAATGGGAAGAAAAACATGAAACAAACCCTACACGTGCCCTTTTTTTTACGTGTGGAAACCCCCTCGGGCCGTCACCCCACTGGGGTTTGCGGCGGGGTGATGTGTCGGAATTGGACCGACTAAAACCACACGGTGTGCCACTCTGCGCCTGTAATAGGAGAGATCCGGGAACTGCAAACATCCGGACCCCTCCTAGCGCATGCCCGCTGTGGTGCCGTAAAATGATTAAAAAAATTAACGGAGGACAGTCATTGTCTTTATAGACAATGACTGTCCTCCGTTAATTGTCACGATATTCTTATCGTGACATATGACAAAACCTGGGTGTACTGCTTTGAGCCCAAAAAAAAGCTAGTCGGCAGAGTTGGTCTTTCCTATTGAAGATTTGCCGACGAAAGTTAAAAAAAATCAAAGCACTGGTAGAAAATGGTTGCTTCTTTTTCTGGCAAATCAGGACATTACACTACAGTATCATTAAAGATCAAAGGACAGTGACTGTAGATTAGTACGTCAACACTTGCTTGCCTTGCTAGAGTCTTAGAAAAAGTTCCCGAAAAGTTCCCGAAAAGCATCCTCGAAGCAATGTCCTCCTTCACCACGATAACGCATCCTCACATTCCGCTAAGGTAACAGAAGCTATTTGAAGGCCTCAAATATGGAACTGATGACACACCCGCCTTACAGCCCGGACCTCGCACCCTGCGACTTCTATTTGTTTCCAAAAATTAAAGACACACGTCTTAACCCTGAATCGGCGGTAAATACGTTACATGAAGCCATTGACTGCTTCTTACAGTGGTTTCATCGATCAATATACTTTAAAAACAATAAATGAATGGTAACTCTTATATCTAGTCTTATTTACCAGAATCCAGTAAATTTTCAGTATACCTACGTATTTAAAGAAACAATGAAGCCGATAATAAGAAACTCTAGTGATTTTGACGTAAAAACAATAAAACGTAAGATACTTGTCAAAATTCTTTAAATTGTTGACAAATGACAGCCATTGATAGAGTCCATCCATAATTACAATCGGCAAAATTCGGTCGAACCAAAAAGCTATGGTATCTTGTTATTATTTATCATCGCTATTAAATCTTGATTTATAAGTTTAATATGATAGCCGGAAAATCTGACTCATAATGATGATTTCCTTATACTTGGCATACGTAGATTTGATTAACAAACAAAGCTGACATACTCCATTGAATGCGTACAATCATGCCCATCTAAGCGTGCAGCATCTTAAAGCGTAAGGTAAAATGATAAGTCAACTTATAAAAGAACACGCTCACATAATAGAAAAGTAGTAGCTTGAAAATGACCAGGTTCTTCGTATCATTAATTATTTACGTTGCGGTCGTATGTCTAGCAGAATCTTCAGGTACGAGTATTTACTGTTTTTATTGGAGATTTTCCACAGTTTAACGTTTGCCTCCTTTTATTTTATAGATTCTTAAAATACCAATGTATTTTTTATAGTATTTTCACAAAAGCTTGTCAAGCACTATAAAGGAATCTCCCCTTTGTTGTTTGTTGATGTAGTACTCTTTGTATACCAATCAACTTTTTGTATTAAGAGTAACATCTTCATGTTTCCGTTTTAATCACACACACATCACTGACAAGCACAACAAAAATAGAAAGTAAGTAACCCAAGGCGATTAGAACCAATTGCTTCTCAAAACATCCGATAAATAAGTAAGAATGTCTCAGTAACTGAAATTCCTATATCACCAACTAATGCTTCGGATTCGATCTCCATATTTGATAGTAATTTGTATAATTCACAGTTGGCAGCTTTTATGTGTCATGAAGCTTTTATGTTCATGTTTGTGTTCATAAAGTGTTGCTTTTATAAAATAAAATAATTTTCATTTAATATTGCTTTATTTACCAGACGAAGTTGAGTCTTTGCCAAACGAAAGAGATGATAACGAGACCACAGAGACAGAAGACATTGATCGCTCAGGGATGGCCCAGGCAAAGGCTTACGCATCGGTCACTCGAATAAAGCCAGGGATGGGAATGGGAGCTGGTGTTAAATTTGTCAACTGCTTTAGCTGTGTAGATTGCCCGAAAGTCTTGGCCAACACAACCTCGAAATACTGTCCGTACACTAATGATCCAACTAAACAAAACAAATGTGTTGTTTATGCTGAGAAATATATACGTAAGTATTAGTGTTTATAAATCAAAACTGATAACTAAACCTATAAAAGACATGCGTTACATATTTTCTACTCTATTTTACATTAATTTAACACCGTAACGTTTAATTATAAATATTTGAATAATAAATAATAACTACGCCTTTGTCTACCTTCATAGTTTATCGAATATTAAAAGCAATATACTTTTTTTTGGTTCAGTTATAAATTATACATTTTCAATGCCTGTGCCTACATATTAAAGAATATTAAAAACAGATAAAATTTAGTTTTGTGATTTGTACCAGGTGTATCTTGTAGTATCTAAATAACCCGTTAGCTTGTTCTATCTCAATAATAATTGTATCTGTTTTAATCTTTCATTATTTAATGTCTTTGTAATTAGGTACAAACCGCCACGCCACCACCGATAATGATTCCTAGTTTTTTATTCAATAATTATGATCGATTATAATCTAACTGTAGATTTGATTACGTCAAGCAGTGTGTAAATGAATTTTAAAGAAACGTAAATTGATACATTTCCTGATATGTTGTTGAAATCAATGATGAGTCTGAAAATTCCTATTTAAAACATATTTTGCTTATATTGCAAAATTGAGTGCAATACATTTAACTGACTTCAAGAAAGGAGGAGTTGCTCAATTAAATTATATTTTTTGGGTGTGTTATTTCAGAACCCGTAATTTAGAAACTAATTTGAAAATTTAATTTTGTATGGGAAGATATACTTTCCATTTGATCCCATTCAAAAATTAAACAAAAAATAATAATATTTTCGGACATTTGAGACATCTGACTCACAACATCTAGATTCAAACCAAGCAGAGCTTGTACTATGAAAGTTAGATTGACTGATAGAATACTTACATACTTTTTTTGTAAATACATACATTATGAATAAACTACATAGAAAACACCCAAACTCAGAAAAAAAAATTTGCAGATCATACAAATATTTGGTCCGACCCGACGAACTCGAGACCTCAGTTCAGCAGTCGCATACGCTACCACTGCACCACCGAGGCAATCAAACACTTCCTCTGATTTTGGGGTGCGGGGGAAGCTTCAAGGGCCACGCACTTGTGACCCTTGAGTAACAATCCCTTATACTCGTTTATATGATAAAAAAAATCGTACGGTATCCTCTTAAAACTATGACGGCCATCAGCCGCTATATACATAGTAGCTTCAATATTGCAATATCAGGGTTTTCGACAATTTCGGCCAACCAATTATATGGTGCGTTCCATCTCCCTTACTTAAACTTATTCATGTAAACAACCTGCGTGTACAATACCGCAATACCACATAATAATTAATGTATTTGATCATAGTAGTTCAGAAGCTGAAAATTGTTTGAATATCTCATTTAAACACTGAAATATCAATAGCCTTTAAAAGTCCTTCCTAGAAAGGAGGATTTGGTCTACTTTATCACGCTGGCCAGACAGGTCGGTATAGGATTTCTGTCATTATTTTTTTCCCTTTGCAGTGCTTTTGTCCTGCGTATTTTGCTTCCTTAGTCCGTCTTACGACACCCACAGGATGGATAAAGGGGTGGTGAGACTACTTTTTCTTAATCCGTCCCTTCACAGACTCAAACACTGAATAAACCTAACTAATAAATGGACATTGCACATTTTTACCAGTCTAGAAAACCTACTCGAAATTACTCTGATAATCTCCCTGATGTGAGTGAAAAACAATATATCAAGTAAAATAGTTGTAATTCCATTCACTGATAACGATTGCCGAACCCTATAACTACCGACAAAAAGACAGATAAGGCAGTGTGAGTAATTGTAGAACAAGAACATTTGCTCACTTCTATACAATTTTTATCTTTGCAACCAGTGTACAATCTTATCATTCAAAAAAATTCAAGATCAAGATTGATTATAATCATAATTGTTGTAATAAACTTCAAAGAGGGGATCTCCCGAACAGAATACCTTCACAACTCATAATGAGTGAATGACGAAATAGGTAAAATACCTTTATAGGGTTTAGTCAAGTACTCTTGCTTTGCGAAGATAAACGATCTACCTACTTTGTAGCTACTATTTTATTAAGGCCATACCAATGGCCAATGCGATGAAAGAAGTCGTGCAATAAAAAATAATAAAAAATTTGTTTACCTCTTGACTCATGCATCATAAAGAGCCTGAAACTCGTAGTGAGCAATAATATATGAAAATAATGATTGTTTTTTCAGAAATGAAGAAGTTATGGTACATACGAGGCTGCGCTTCAGAGCGAGGGTCTTGTGCCGATATTAAAAGAGGTCACGATAATTCACCATCGGTGAAATTGTCCTTCTGTGTCGAATGTGATGGAGATCGGTGCAACACTAACGGAGTATCTCGTTCAACCTTTGATGTAACTATTGCTATAATTGTCTTGGTTTTATGTCCCATTTTAGGTAAATATACAGTTTCATAAAGCACACCATGTCTGTGATCTGCATCATAATCGTAAAATTATAAGAATTTGATCATCATACATCATCTCTATGTTTTGTTTGTTGTAGTATAAAAACAGGGAAAGAATTTATAATCGTACACTTGTTTGTTAGCTGAAAGTAAAAATACCTAATTGATCTAAAATTTTCATGAGGGAAATTACATGCAATTAATATATTTGTTATCACAATACATAAATACGTTTTAGTAGCATTGTACTTCAACTAATCGTACAGATAAATAAAGATTAGCAATATGGAATGGCATCTGCTGACATATTTAACATTGCCTTATTGTCAGTCCATAGATTGGCAATAAAGAAACGTGTCATCAGTTTATTGAACTAGTACATAATTATTTTATCGTGAAATAAAGATGCAATTTATGACGGTGTTTTATTTTCATATATACCTACACATACAGACATTTACGTCTATATCCCCAATGATTTAGTGATGTATATCGATATATGTGTGTCGCCGTGTGGTGACGGATTAAGCATACGGAATGTCAACACCTATTTATCATGTGGGTGTCGTAAGAGCCGACTAAGGGAACAAAGTGCACAGAACAACATCACTGCAAAAGAAGGAAAACTTGAAACAAACCCTATAATAACCCGTCTGGCCAGCGTGGTATAGTAGGCCAAAACCTCCTTTCTAAGGATGAGGCCTATGTCCAGCAGTGAGCTATTATAGACTGTTGATGTGTGATGTGATGATGATGTGATGTGTGTCGCTCAGTATTCAGTAATAAACTAGTGTTAAACGTATAAGATCGTTTCATTACTTCAAATACTTATCATTTAGGCAGTGACGTAATAAACGCCCACTTATTACTACCTACAACTAAGTCCTACTTTAGGAAATAGATGAAAAATTGTGTGGTGTGGTGACGGATTAAGAATACAGTGTCACCACCCCTATTCATCAACATTACCTACACCATACACCGGCCGAGCGCCGCGCCTCAAAGTAAACGTATTGAGTAAGCGAACAACCTCCGCAAGAATGGGTTCTGTCTGTAGGTAAGTGGTCTTTGGCTCGGTGCCGTCGATAGCCTGTAGCAGTCTAAAATTCCGTAAATAAGCAGATGGGGCCTATAGACATTTGATAGAAATTTGTAAAATAGCTCGGGATAGTCGATTGTATCGTTTTAAACAATGAAACAGGAGTCAATATCCTTAATGAAGATGTTAAACAGCAAAAATCGTGAGAATAATCCCTGGGGACCCCCGACAGGAAAATATTTTCTCCAGATTTGTAACTGTTCAGTTTGACATATATTGTATTCACGTTTAACTCACCACTCATTCCCCTAAATTCCCATGGACAACAACTTGTTCATAACGGTTACATAATCAATCCAGTCGTAGCTAGTAGTAAGTATTTATAGTCGGCATATATAATATTGACTGGTGACAAGACAAGATTATACAATTATAAGATATATCTTATAAATCTATTATGATGTTCCCTGTTTTTTTGTTTATAATTGCAAATTGTAACAATTTTTAGGGTGTTAAAAAAATAACGTTACCGCAAAGTAGATCTGCAGACACCGAATAAATATTATTCTATTTTGATATGAACATACTATTTACTTGACACCGGCAGTAATAAAGCTTCAAAATTATCTCGGATTAAAAAGATAAAATGTTTGTGGAGTGCATTATCAAATAAGTAATTACATTTGTACATTTTTCATTGATATCAATGAGTTGAGAGGATGTGACGATGTGGATAATATCGATTCCTTATCTATTCAGTCTATCATTCAATATCCATAACAAAGTTGTTCTGTCGCAATCTTATTTGTGACTATTCCCTTTTTATGCCATTCGCAGTTGTCATTATCATCATCAACAGCCTTTAGTAGTCCATTGCTGCACCTAGACCTCTCCTTAGAAAGGAGGTTTTGGACTACTATACCACGCTGGCCAGAGGGGTTTGTATAGGATTTGTTTCAAGTTTTCCTTCTCTTTGCAATGCTGTTTTCCTGCGTTGTTTGTTCGGTATGTTAGTCGGCTCTTACGATTCCCACGAGATGAACAACGATGGTGACACTCCGTATTCTTAACACGTCACCACACGAAGATATTCACGTAATAAAATATCTTGAAATTTGAAAAAAATAGCTACTGTGGTAAACAATTTTCTAGATCCATTGTACTAGATTTAGTCTGTAAGGATGGTTGTAAATAATGCCTAAATAAATACATAAAAAGAAATTACTTATGGAAACCATACGGAATGGTAAATATAACTTACAAGATTAATATTTTCAGACAATTAGGCTTATTTCGTTACTTTAATTAAAACATTAACTTAATAATTTAGCTTTTTTGTTCCGTGAATGATTCTTTGTTGCAACTAAGCAAATCTAAGAATTATCAGGCTACATAATAATATAAGATAAACTTAGGGTATACTGAAAGTTTCTGGATTCTAATAAATAAGACTAGATATAAGATTTACTATACATTTATTGTTTTCAAAGTATATTCCCTAGCAATGAATGTATTTTTGCATTAACTGAAAACAACAACAAGATGTTTGAAAACAAAAAGAAGTCGCAGGGTGCAAGGTCCGGGCTGCAAGGCCGATTCGTCATCAGTTCCACATTTGAAGCCTTCGAATAGGCTTCTGCGTTATCGTGGTGAAGGAGGACATTGCTTCGAGGACGCTTTTCGCGAACTTTTTCTAAGACTCTGAGCAAACAAGTGTTGACGTACTAATCTGCAGTCACTGTTCTTTGATCTTTAAGCGATACTGTAGTGTAATGTCCTGAGTTACTAAACTATTTCTTAACTTTCGTCGGCAAATCAAAAGGAAAACCCCAATTTGCCGACTGGTTTGGTCACCTGTCACGATAATAAAGACAGCCAATGACTGGCACCACTGGGCACGCAGTTGTTTCTGGTCCTCCGTTAAGTCATGCGGTATCCACCGAGTACAAAGCTTTCCAACCTTCAGATGCACATGTAAAATGTTTTGCACTTGGGTCATTCCAATGCCTAACAAAGCACGAATTTGATGGCAAGTATTTTTTTTGTCAGTTTCAATAAGTTGGCACACGGTGTCAATGTTACAGTCTGTAACGCAGTCACCGGCCGACCTTTACGTACCTCGTCATGGAGATAATCATGTCTACTTCTAAATTCTCCAAACCACAAATACACAGAGCAGCGACATGGTGCTTCATCACCAAATGGCAATTGAAGTCTCTAGCAACTCTCTTGTTACCTTAAGATACAAGGAAAATCATAAAAAATTATTGAACGAAACTGTTCACGAGTTAAATTCATTTTGAAAGTGACACACAATTTTCGAAAAGACGTCACATTGAAAAAACAAATGACAGTCTCGCAAATTAAAAAGTAAAGTAAGAAGTTTTCGTTTATTACGGGAAATGATAAGTATATTTAAATATATTATCTCATTACATGTTAAAGAATGTATGTATTTATGATATGAATTAAATACGTATACATATTATATGTATATATATATAAATAATCTGAATCTGGGGAACGGCTTCAACGTTTTCCATGAAATTTAGTATGCAATATATGGTATGGTTTCAAGAGCAAAACCATGTGGAAAAACTACAACATCTAGTATTTTTTGTAATATTATCAATTTCTTGATACTGTCAAGAAAATGAAGGACAATTACTTTGTATCACAATTTTTTATGAGGTATTTAAATGTAGTAAGTAATGTAGACACAGTTCAATAATATGTATTAATTCAAATAATATTTTACAACAACTTGCATGGGAAGTTTCGTTATTAATACAATTATTACCATAAATCCAAATGGCTTTTATTATATCATCTATTAATAACTGTTATCATAATGGTGACGACAACATTAAGGTGTTAAAAAATTTAGCAAAAAAAATAAATTAACATTTGACATACTTTCGTACCTACATAGTTCATAGTTCAGTGATCAGAAAGGTTCCTCATCGATTTAAAGTTGAATATCGTATAAAAAGGAGTAAGTAAAAGGTTCGTAAAAATAATGTGCCTGATAAAGCGTATCCTACACCCGAACGAAATGTTGTCCGTTGTAAGAAAGTAGGCGTTATAAATTCTATCTCTTCAAATTCAAGTAGCCTCGCTAGCATATAGTTTAAGAAAAAAACAGATTTTAACAAATGATATGCATTTGTAGGTAATTAAAAAGTCAAAGAATCATGACACCGACCCGTAAAATCTTCACCTTAAGAAAGATTCCCGTCGGATCCGAAACTTGTCGAACATCTCCAAAACAAACAGGAACAGTGTCTTAAGAATTTTTTTTGTTGTATAACTCTATGCTACAAAAAAATCTTTCAGTAAAAATAATTACTACACTGAAGTAAAAAAATACTCATTTTTTTAAATCAAAATTTTTTCTTACTTCCATTGCAAGAATAAAACTGATTGATATGACTGACTTTTAATATGATTTGTAGTTTTATTTCGAGCGCCTGACGAAATGTTAAATAGTCTGTTTATAAAACGAAACGACAATTTAGAAATGAAAACACTTTTTTCTGATACTCAAGTTAATAAAGATGTTTAATTTACATTGCATATTTGAAATTAATAGTTCTACAACAAACAGTAAATTTTCCTTTAAATCCATTATCTATTAATATAAGTATCATTTTAACAAGGTCTAGCCGAAATATCGATCTAGCAGATAATAGACATCCATCAAAATGAAACGCCTCATTAGCAGTCTCTCTACTTAACTACTTTAACCCTTATTAGTAAATTCATTATTTTAGTTATGTATATAAATAAAAAATTCATGTGTGATATGTATGTACGATAGAAAAATCTTCCTGTCAAAGTGAGAACTTTCTTAACAGGATTAGGTGCCTAGAGCCTACTACTTACCCGACTTACCCTAGGGAAGAACGGTGTATACTTATTTTAAAATTTACTTGAGTAACGTTACGTCTTACATAAGTTGTACTCATAATTTAGGATAATTTACTACCCCTGAATATCGTAAATTCAGTGATTATAACAGCATTTTATCTATTGAAACTTTCACTGGTATTTTCTTCCAGTCAAACTTTTGGATGTTGCAAAGCTAGAGTAGTGTGGCAGGTATATATTTGGAACAAATAAGACATGAGACTAAATTGAAGTATGTTACAAAGGATAAAAAAACCTACAGATAATATAGTATACATATAGTTTATAAATACTGTATTTTAGTATAAATATCAAAATATGTATAATAGGTATAATTATATAATATTATACATTAATAATAAACACATTCTTAAAGTTTGTATAGACCTTCTTAAACATTTTTTACAGTAATAATTCAATAAAAATCTTGTAAAAATTTCAAAATCTAGTTTGCTGTTTAGGTCAAAACTAACCGAATTTAAACACAACACAATAAATTCCGAACAAAAGTGAAAGGCACAGGTGAGAACAATACAAACAAATAATATTATTACTTTTACTATTATATATAATCATCAGTCATGCCAAATGACTAAAATTTTTCTAATTATATATCTCTTTTTACAACAGTAAATCATTAAAAATATTTTCATCCCTTAGTATCCTATCTAAAAGTTTCTATTCCTGAGGATATAAGTTACAATTCATTACAGCGTTTTTTTTTTTATATTACCTTTAAACTTACTTTACTTTCACTTTAACTTGTTAGTATGGAACTGAGACTAGAGTATAAACATGTTTTTTAAATATTCGTATTATGATGATGAGTGAGTATGTGTTTAAACTATAGTATTCTAAAACTCTCACAAAAGAGATTGGAAAGAAAAATCATTTAAGAAAATCCATTACAGTTTACTAACATTAAAATGATTAGTTTCTTAAACTCTTTTCACTGTCTTCAAAGATAATGCCAATTGTTTTAGTTTACCCAGACCGATGTTATATAAATTGTAAATGTACTCGTATTACAAAAATATTATCCAAGTCAGCGACAATGTTTCGTAATCTTTATATACGTAGGTGAAGATTACGAAACATTGTCGCACATTTTATTAGTCTATGGCCGTACTCATCGACTGACTCATCATAGACAAAGATACACATTGGAAAACAAGGTTCAATTGTACGCAAATTTTACTTTTAAACCTACCCGAAAGTTACCTATACGAAAAATCTTTTGCTGATAGAATGACACTTTGAGGATCTTTGAAGCAGGAGTCGATAAATATAAGCTGTAGTTAAACCGAAAATACTTAATCTGAAAAAAAAAATTAATGAATATGATTACAAATGCTTTGCTTGCTTATTGTTATTACGCATTTTAATGGCTTTTTATTTTAAAGACTTTTATAATTAAATCCGTTGTACGAATTTACAAATCTCTTCATGTCGTGACGTATAGCTTACAAAAAATTAACAAAATTCTCAGTTCTATGCTAAAGCATTATTTTGAAAGAGATAACACTAGCTTATTCTAAGATTATACTAATTTCTAGGAAGTATACTTCTGCAATGTCGTAACTTAGTGGCCTCTTCACAGAAGCTTGTCCAAAACTTGAAAGAAAAACTTTTTTTGTTTCACCTCAATTCCTGTTTCCTCTACGCAATAACTTAGAAATATAATGAACTGTCTGTTTTTTAGTCTCTAACGCGGTTTACACGCTTATCGTACCTACGCGGTACCTATCGTATTCCCGCCAAGTAACGCGCAGTCACGGTACTATTATAATACAGAGTGCTTAGTGCGAGTTTTCTCACCTACTCACCTGCGAGCGAGTAAACTCTAATTTATATGACATTAAATTAGCGCCTCCTAGCGGCACGTTTATGAAATATTTTTTGTGAGTGCAAGTTTTTACGTCCTCACGCCGTTTATCGAAAAGTGACTTGGGCTCGAAAGTGAGTGTGACAACTCACGTGATTGGTTGATTCAAAGTTTTGGCTGAGTGCGAGCCACACTTTTTGACATAAGTCACGTAAACATTCGGAAACGTAACACAAAAGTAAGTGAAAAGTTGTCACCTACATTTTCATAGTGAAAGCTCAGTGAGAACAATAAACCGACGTTTTTAAAACTAATTTAATATTGCAATTATGACCGGTCGCCGTTTTTTCGCCTGGAGGATGTTTGCAGCCGCTAAGGCACAAGATGATAGAAATTTTAACACAAGTGTGGAAGCAAGAGCTCGAGCGTCTTTTGATCCTTTGCTACATCTCACGGAGAAACAATTTAGAGAGCGATATCGTCTTACCAAAAAATCATTCAAGTTCTTGTGCGCAGAACTAAGGCGCACAACTAATTTAAGGTCCACTCAACGTATGTCTTTGGAACATAAAGTACGTATTAAACCTATACCTATAATACAAGTTTTTTATTATTGAATTTTATAAAATCAAGACAATACATTGTTAGTTTTTATATTATCATTTTATCTCCAGGTGCTCACTGCTCTATTTTTTTTTGCAACTGGATCCTATCAACGGCCGGTAGGAGTTGCAAAACATTTATCACAGAAAATGTGCAGTGTATATATTCAAGAGGTGACCGAAGCATTGAATGATAAAAATATCATCAATAAATTTATTAAATTTCCCTGCACTCAAGCTGCCAGGCAGGCAGTTAGTCAACGGTAGAAATACATTTAATATTCAATCAAAATAAGGCAAATCAAAAAATTCATTGCAAAACTATTAATTTGTAAATTTCTATAGATTTTACAGCAGATATGGAATTCCTGGTGTAGTTGGATGCATAGATGGAAGCCATTTTAAAATAGTTGTTCCTCCAAAGGAAGAAGAGCATTTGTATTATAGCCGTAAGCACTATCATTCTCTAAATGTTCAAATGGTAAATATGAATGTTATATTATTTGTTAGTTTATATTAAATTGTCAGGAGAGAAGTACATAATGGTTTTGATTTTAGGTATGTGATGATGAATACAGAATTTTGAATGTAAATTCCAAATTTGGAGGTGCAAATCATGATTCTTTTATATGGGCAAATAGCTCACTGAACACTTATATGCAACATTTGCACCAAGGTGGCGAAATGGTCTGGCTTTTAGGTAAATGATATATACATAAAGGAAAATATCTGAAGACTGGTGGTAAACATAGGTCTTATTAATACAGATTTAATACTGCTTAAATAGCTTTACAGTCCACTGAAGCAGTTAAACAATATAAAAAAATGTGTGAATTACTTGAACCTCAAAGAACTATGGCCTGCAAGAACTAAGCTCCACTTAAACAAAAATAGGGTGCTGGGAGTGTTATTGCACAGTTTTAATGTTTATACACTAAAATATTATTGTTGTATTGATCTGCTTGATATTTATGACTTTAATTAAAATTTATAACTTTCTTGTAGGAGACTCAGGATATCCCCAACGACCATGGTTAATGACACCAATTTTAGATGCTACCTCTGGCTCAATCAATAGTGTTTATAATGAAAAACATATGAGAGCTAGGGTAGTCATCGAGAATACTTTCTCCAGAATGAAAAATCGGTGGCGCTGTTTGCACAAAGACAGAGTCCTCCATTACAGGCCACTGAAATGCTCTAAAATTATTTTAGCATGCTCAGTGCTACATAATTTAATGATTGATTTTGGGATTGAGGCCCTAGATGAAGATATGGGTAAGAATTGTAGTTTCATATTTAATGTAGGTTTTGTAAATTATTCTGTGCTGTGAACTTTACTATGTCATATTTATAGGTCTGGACGAAAACATCAATGAAGATACAGAAGGAAGTTATATAGAAGAAGAAGCCACTTCCGATTTAATTAGAGGAAGAATATTGAGAGATCAGTTAGTGAGACGGTTGCAATAAATGTTTTGTTAATTAATTATTGTCTTTTAATACCTAACTACTTAACTAAATTGTATTTTATTGTAAGTATAACAACAGCAGTGCAAGAAGAAGGAAAACTTGACACGAACCCTATATCAACCTGTCTGGCCAGTGTGGTATAGTAGACCAAAACTTTTTAAAGCGTAGATCCACCAATGACTATTAAAGGCTGTTGATGATGAGAATAGGTAATATTCCCAATTCATGGATCCTGGGTAATATTATACTGTGTGATATATATATGAATGTGCTGTTAAGGTTTAAAGTTAAATTTAGTAAAACAGCGTTTTATTAACAATCAGTCTTTGCTTTATTGAAGATACTTAAAATATGTAAAAATCCTTACAATACTTATTTATTAAATCAGTCTAACAATCAGTCTTTGTTTTATTGAAGATACATAAAATATATACAAAATCCTTATAATACTTATTTATTAAATCAGCCTAAATAATAATCAGTCTTAACTCCAAAATCAAAGTCATTAAAATAAAAATCATTCCTTACAATACTTATTAACAAATTTATCTAGTATATCTAGAGCCCGTCTCTGTGTTTCTACCTCCATTATCCTAATCCTGTTTTGCTCCCTTCTCAATTCCATGTAGTCTTGGTGTTGTTGAGCTTTAAACTGCTGCCAAAATGCCTCGGCTTGCAGAAAATGCTGTGTTGCCTGCTCTGTGTGAGATGGCCTCACTCGTCGTCGAGGTGATGTTCTGTTGCGAACTCTCATCCGACGGGGTGTTGTTTCTCCAGTCATAGCAGGTGCTGGCTCGACTACATGGATTGGAGATGTAGGCCTAGATGGAGATATTGTGCCATGACCTGTAAACATATAATAATATATTATATAATAAAGAACTACCTTTCATCTGTTATATATACAGATGAAAGGTTCTTTAAGTCTTCAGGCGTTTGTGTTTTTTACCTTCCACATGCACCTCCACATAAGAGAGATGTGATGTTGTGGCAGGCCTAGACTCCGGTAGAGTTTGGCCTGAAGCAGATTGCTCTGGTTGATGCAAATATTGAGAAGCTAAAATTTACAAAATATACATATACAAAAATTATTTCATTTACACAAAGGTCATTACTTAGGAATAAAACAGTATACCTACTGCAATGTAAGATGGTTCCAAAACTTAATTTATTTTTCTAATAATTCTTATTTATCTAGATAAAAGTAATAATTTCTTACTTTGAACTTCTTCCTCTACAAATGTATGTGGAGGAGAAGATATAGCCCTTGTTAGTTGTGGTGATGCTGGCACAATTGGTACTGAAATACAGATAACTATGTAAATATTTCATAACTAAATACTACTAAAACTTATTGATTAATTCTGTTGAGATACAATGATCATTATTAACCTTCTAAAAATTGATGTGGTTGTGGGGTTGATACAATATCCTCAACGCTATCCAGGTGAGTGTTAATCACCTGTAAGAGAAATATAATTTATAAAACACCAATAAAGTGAAACAATACAGTAACTGCATTAATGAGAGATGTTAAAACCTGGGGTAACCCAGCCTCCTCCACTGCTAAGCCAGTGGCTGCTTGCACACCAGTAATTTTTAAGACTCTCTGCTCGAAATCTGATAGCTTGCTAAACATAGCAGGCCCACCACCAGTTGCATTAGCCGATCGATGCAAGCGTGCAGCTTTTTTTTTGGTGTTGTTTTTATAATCGCTCCATACCTAAAACCATGCAAAGAAGCATACAAAATAAAATAAACACAACATGCTTTAAACCAAAATAGGTAGTATAAACATTTATACAAACTTTTTTCCACTTTTCAGTGGTCTTTGTACATCCACTGCCATCACTGTTTAAAAGTCGGGTTAATTCCTCCCATTTTTGGTAATTACTTACTCTGCCTCTTGCATTACTTAAAAGTTTGCTTAGATCTCCATGCCTAAAAAGCAATAAAATTAATAAGTCTTGTTTACTGAACTTCATTTTATGTTTATTAAACACTATCACGTAAATTCTACTTACTGCTCCATAAACGTTACCATTAACTCAAATTGTGATGAACTTGTCTTCATTTTGGTATGTATACAAGTAAAATAACAACAAAAGATCACAAATTCTTTCTTTATAATGTCTTTTGAAAACAGTTTTTGTCTGACAAGTGACAAGACAACCAAATATGGCGGCCAAATTTGACAAATCAAACTGTTTTTCTGAAATTAATTTAAAATTTATTTGTTTTTCTCAAATGAAAAACACAGAAATGTTATTTTTTCCTATCATATTTGATTTAATAAAACTACAATTTTTTTTTATTGAATTTCGACAGTTTAATTTATCACACGATGTCAAGTAGTACCAACTTAACTAAAATAGTAATTCACCATTCACGGTGAGTAAACGCCTGTCGAACGGTTAGCTTCACTTTAACTCACACTCACCTTCCTTCGGTTCTCGACGTTCGTAAAGTTTACTCGTTGTTCACGGTGACAAAGTCATGCGAGCATTTTTTGAGAACTCGCACTTGGCACACAGTACTCCAACTTCATACAAACGGACGAAACGCGAGCTATACCTACGCGCCTCGATCTCGGGGTGCGCTCGGGGCGCAGACACTCACGGCTGTACCGCAGTGTCGAACGGACTGTGTGTTGTTATTTTAACAATAACCGCGCGATTTTTTCTCTAAAAATCAGTTAATATGACGAGCAGGAAGTATTGTGCTGTTTTTGGTTGTATGAATTCGTCAATAACGCATCCAGACATAAGCTTTTTAAATTACCTTGAAACTCTGAAATGTAAGACTATAAAATAATTTTACTTAGTAGTAGGTAGGTACATAATGTGTGTCTTTTTAATGGATAAATATTTCCTTTTATATCACGAAAAAAAAGGTGTTTAGATGAATAAATAAAGCAAATAGAGTAACGGAAAGTTATTGAGACGAGTGAAATAGGGAGTTATATGCGGTTCTGAATGAATCATGATACGGTAGGTACCTACCTACTTACGCTTGTGTTAAAACTTCGGTGCATGTGTGTTTTGTTACTTTGCATAATTCAAAGTAAAGACGTGGTATTTTATTATTAATAATATTTGTTTATTATCTGTGTGTATGAATAATACTAAAAAAAATTTTTACCGTCTGTGTGTCATTAGACAGTTTTCGAAATTTTCACAAAGTGTTTCTGCTGCTACTATAACAACATATACCACTAAAAACTGGTTTTATTTTCTCGGTATTAACAACAACAGCTAGACTCATATCTAATATTTAGATGTTTGAGGGTTGTGATTTTAAAACATTCGTAGTCAGCTGTTCAGCTTTTTAATAATGAATTAATTGGTGACCAAAGAATTTTTGTTTTGAGTTGTTGCGAGTTATAGGTAGGTACCTAATTTATAGAGACGTTAATAAGCTGAGATAAAAAGATACTTACTCGTCAGCTGTTTCTTGCATTCTAGTTGAGTAGGTAGGTGTTGGAGTTTCTAAGGATTGGAGTTTTGTAACGCGTAAGGAGAAAGCACATTTATTTTATTTTATAGAAGGATTTTTTTCGGTCGCAAATTTATAAGCCCGATTTGATTTTCAAATAAAAACATGTTTTTTAATTAAATCTACCAATCAAAAAACAACACGCATTTTTATTGAACACTTCCTATTCAATATACAAAGTATTTCATTTATTTATGTAAAAAGGATATTTACAATCACAAATCTAAATAGAAACAGAAAGTAGGCAAATATAATTAAAATGCTGGAGACGGGCAGCCCTAACGCATGTTTACGTACCGCACGGCTGTAGGCATTTATTTCTATCATGCGGCCGAGTTACACTACTGTATTATAATTGTACCGTGGCGCAGTGCTTCAATAACTTGTTTTTATCTTGTTGTAGACCCGACGTTCAAAACGCTGCGGTTTTTATACCATGAGTATTAACTTCGCTGTAACCAATGACGTTTTACCCTCTTGGTTGTATATAATATCATTGGCTGCACCTATAAAATTAAATTAAATTTGTGACTAAATATGACTACCAAAAAGTAAAAATTCGACAAGTAATGAACAATGCATGAAGTCACTAAAAACTCAAAACTATTGTAGATTTCATTCTACTCCTTATAGATTTACCTAATGCCGACAAGAAGTTTTTACTGATCGTGAACAAAGTAGTTAATGTAAACGATACACAATATCATAAGTTATCTTCTAGATTATCCAGAAGGAGCATAGCTGACTGGGTTAATTAATTCACCTTACATATATGTTTTTTGGTGAGTAGGATCGTCATAGTGTTATAGGTAGAAAGTTAGCCACAGGGTTGTAAAGACAGATCAGTTCATCAAGTATCTAGTACTTCCGTGTGTAACGTTAAAACACGTTAATATACCTTAATAATTATGTTAAGTCCAACTGTTTTTTCAGAGGCACTAAATATTAAGCGAATCAAACTGTATGTTTATTTTGTATGATCTGCAAATATTAGTTTCGGATATGTATATGTATAATATGTATTCTATCAGTCAATGTAGTTTTTATATTACAAGCTCTGCTTAGTTTGAAACTAGACTTGCTGCGTGAGAACTTGAACTGCGTTGTGTGTTAGATGTCCGAAAATATTATTATTTAATATTATTTTCAATTTATTAAATATATTTTGTTTCACAGTCCGGATAATTTACTACTAACCGCGTAACCTACATTGAATAGGTACCTCTGAATTTACAGAGGAGTAGGTAAAATGCTTTTATAAGCGTTTCAGACGCACGTTCGTGGATGTAAAAAACGGATGACTGCAATCTGCTACCAGCGTGCACGAGTCATTCGCTCGCCGAATGCGAAGAGAGCCGTACGTTCATTGCCGAATTGTGACAAAATTTCGTAATTCGTGTTGTGTTGTACTTTCTATCAAACAATGGCCAACCTTAGAATTTTTGTCCCCGTGCTACTTCTTGCTGTTTTCATTAAAGAAGGTATGTACTGTTTTATTTTAACGGATTTGTTTTTGAGTTCTGATTTGAATTGAAATAAATACAAACAGTATTTACGACATAATTATTTTTAATTTTATAAGGCAGATGACAGAATAAAAAATATAATTTGAATTAAAACTGAAATGTGATTGAAAGAAGTTTATCCTGTTCATGTGTTAAGTTTGCATATATTTTAAATAGATTATGCAGCATCGTTAAGTAAACTTATCTATGACAAATCTATAAAGATTATCTTATATTTAAAAACCAAAGGTTAGCGATGCGATGCTGATTGCCATGAAATTATTGCATATAGGTATTTTGCCAGAGTAGTATACAAAGTTTAGAGAAGTATATATTCTTTTTTAATACAGAGAAGTATACATAGGGTGCCTTTCATCTAGAGTTCTAGACAGAAGTACTGTTCAAAAGAAATGAATAACAAAACACTCGCGGCATAAGAAAAGTAATAATTTGGTGAAATAACGCGGGCAAATCCACGGACTTGAGGTAGTTGTAAATAAGAAAAGCAAAAATTATTATAATGCTTATTTGAAGGAATAAGGATCACTTTCTCCTAATAATACTTAATGTCCTTGTCTTTCTTTCTTGTTTTCACATTTAATATTACAATGCCTTCAAACCTGAGTGCGTAATGCGTATGGATTATAGGTACCCTGCCTGACCCCTGGCTAAAATGGTTTAAACTTTAAATCATCTTGTCTTCAATATCACGTAGGTATATCTTAAACCAAGTTGTCCAGATGTATTATTCATTCATTTAGTTTTATATAGGTAGGTCGGTAAAATCATAATTTTACGTTCTTGTTGTTGTATTATTAGGTCATCTACTTATTTGGACAAAGAAAATCTTATGAGCCTGGGTTACAGTTAGCATTGTCACTTCCTATGATGAATGTAAGCCTGTTCAAAGATTAGATCGTACGTAAGTGCCCGTGGACCGCAGATAATTAGTCATAACATAAACATCTAATCTTGAAATTCAAAATATAACCCAGCCTTCTTAGGCTGGCGTAACCCGCCGAAGGCAAGTTTCATCCTGAACCCCCATGTCTTTAACTGCTAGTATTAATTTAATGAAAGAAAAGTTGTAACTCAAACACAAAATATGGCCATGGGCCAAAAGCTGTCATCGGTGTTAGTACCGCATGCGGGCCGAAAGCTGCACGATAAAAAGGGGCCCATAGAGCGTTAATGTTTACTTAAGCGCAAAAACCATTTGTTTTTCGTAACTACTGCCTATTATATTTCAACATCATATTACTGTGTTGTAAAACTCCTAGTGATTGGTTTAAGTTATTCTTTCTTGTGTTTTGTTTACCTTTTTATCTTTTATCCCAATAAGCAGTATTATTATTCGGCTTAAATACTCCTTGATTTGTATGTAACGCGACTTCTGATAGCATTACATTACATTTAATACCCTTTTTATCGCCTTGATTTGGCACAGATGCAAAATAATTAATTTAAAGCAAAATGTGATGTTCAATATAAACGTGTCATGGTACATATAAGCAAAACGTGTTGTTTACCTACCTAAGATAAGACACAACAATATTACATCACCTGCTGTTTATAAATACGTGTTTTAGTAACTAGTACGTTGTATTTAACGCTGTGTAGGTCGTTTAGTACCTAGTCATAAAAAAAATATAACTAGCAACTGACTACATGATTTATTAGTCATCACATATAGGAAAACAAACTGTTTTTTTTTCTGTTTGTCTTTAGCGTGAAAAGTACCTGTGCTCGCTCGGCTTAAACCTACCAAATATATTCATAGTTATTAAATTAAGTACCTATATTTGCATTTCGTTTTTGAAATAGGGTTCTTAAAGATGCGATCATTATTTTACGTTCACAAACTGTCAATATTTAATGTTGCCGTTAACTAGAAAAGTTGAAAAAAATGAGTAAGTTGATGTCAAGAGAAAAAAGTCACAAAAAGTCGCAACAAAAGATTAATTTAACATCCTGTGCATCATGAGGGGTCAACTAATGTATTGTATATCACCCTTGATTCCTTAATGTCTTCCTCTGATCATTCATCGTTGCAGTTAGTCAACAACGTGTGTGAATTTATTGAAGTTTATTACAATTTTATTGTGTTTAGCTATTGCGTTACTTTCGTATAGAGAATGCCAGTATTTTTCTAATGAGCTCTTAAACCTAACTCGTCCAATTACTGGATGTTGCCGAATAGCAACGGGCCCAAGGCTAGCAATATAAGATACTAACACTCACTGTCTTACACTTTCTAAGATTGATTAATTAGTAATATAGAAAAGAAACCGACTGGAAGGATTGCTATAGCATTTATGTAACGAAGACTTAGAATAGGAAATGAAAATTCGAATCAGTCCAACAAACTTCTACACTTAAAAAATGGATTGTTTTTTAATGTTCATAACCACAACGATAGAGTTTATCTATAGTTCTAGTACTTGTTGCATACAGGTCAAACTAATCATAACGGCGAAACTAATTTCATATCAGTAAAGTTCTAGTTTTCCAATATCGTAATAGTCTAAGTCTATAAACTTATATCTGGACTATAGTTTATAGTTAAGTAGACGTATAACATGCCCTGTTTACGATTGCGACAAAGTTGCCGTAGCTGCTATTCTTTTATTCCATACAATATTAACGGGAATATACATTTTAAATGGACATCCTAATCCTCACTAACATTATAAATGATAAAATCACTTGTTTGTTAGTCACTCTCTTTGACTTATCAACTGATCTTCATGATACATACGGGACATAGGACGCCCAGAAAAATAATAATACTGTTGGCGGCCTGTAAGATACCTGTAGACCTGTAAGATACCTGTAGACCTGTAAGATACCTCTAGACCTGTAAGATACCTGTAGACCTGTAAGATACCTGTAGACCTGTAAAATTGTCAAGTAATCATTTTTACCAGTGGAGCAGTGGGTAAAAGTGAATGTTAGGTATTCGACACTAATTTTTTTGGCGATTTCGTTTTATTACAAAATGAAATACCTACCTATACAAATATGTGTAAGATCAAATAACGAACACAATTTCATAAGTTCGGATCCTCATCATACTTTTCACTTGCACTTTACTATGAATTCCTATGCCACAGAAATAAACTTTTGTTAGTTTTAATAGATTTTTGCAATATCTATCGACAAACTAAAAGTTGAATTTGATATCGACGATGAAGTTACTCTCAACTTTGTCTACTTAAGCACGCAAAAATTTTCAAGCACACGCCTACATAACACTTTCGTACGTTACGTAAACAAGCGTGGGTATGTCGACTAAACGGGTATAACTTCTATTTCAATGGAACTTAATTTCTAAAACTCTTTTAGAATAGAAAGCGAGTTCTTTTTTATTGCCTGCATTTACTTTTGGATAAATCATGTTTTAGATTGAAAACTGACATATTGTACCTTATCATAACACGATTTAGTAAAACTTACTAAGATACCTGTCACTCGATATTCTCAAGATCACATAATTAGTTTCCTACATAATAACAATAAGACCAACGAAAAAAATCCTTTCAAGCAAAAATGCATTTTTATTTCCCGGCCAACTGCGAAAATCCTCGTTTCTTAAAATCGGTTAAAAATAATAAGGACGTAACCGTAATGATCAGGTGAATCACTAACAAACTTTGCCGCCCTTCTGCTGGATACAATCTTTAGCTTTTACCCAAACAACATCGTAAAAAAATATATAAATTATTAATAGTCTATAAACTTCTAACATTAATGATGACATAATCCCCAGGATTAAATTGTGATCAATTCCATTAATATTCATATTGTGCTCATGAACACAAACAGTATGGACATGTAATTCAATAAGACAATCTTAGAGTATGAAAAAGGGCATACGAGGTTGGGGTAAACATTTCAATGGCGATGACAGAAAAGTACTTACTGACGACCAGATCCTCTAAATGTACGATAAAATACTAAGATATGACTCATATACATGAATAAACAGGCAAAAAATCTATCTATATAGAAATACCCAACGAAACCAGTTAAGTATTATTTTCCTCTTAGAATTATTTGTTTAGTAGCTTTTGGCGAGCTTTAGTATTATCATACCTACAAAGCTATTTTAAGGAAGATACGTTATATTCATACTGCATGCACAAAATGTTTGTTCCGTAACCGTACATATTTATATTAATGCATTTTAAAACAATTTCCTATTATTCCTTTATCTTTATTTACCTTTTTGTCGTAATTTGTGCACTTTCGGAATACACAGGACGGCAGTTTATGAATTAATTAGTACGTTCGCTCGCTCGCCGTGGTCCTAATTAGGACCGTTGCGTTTTGTGTGTTAGTGGCGTATCTACCTCTTTTTTGTATATAATATCATTGCCTAAAAATAAAAAATCTTAAACTATTTTCTACTTGTCTATATCTTAATACGTGAAATGAATTATTAGTACACTTCTATAAGCAACTTTGGTGCACAGATAAATTTGAATTTGGACTACCTACAGCAATAAAAAGTGTAAATATATATAGATTAAATACATTAATATTCATTTGTTATGGTCAATCTCGATATTTGACCATCTTTATTATTATTTTTTACTGCGCGACAATCCGCCATCGGATACCACCGGTGCGGTGGTTATGTCGGACTCGAACCGACCAAAAATCACACTCTGTCTCGGGTACCAGTACCCTAGAAAGAAAATCTCTGGTACACCGTCTTACCTCGGGCCATCTATGGATGACCCCCTCCTGCGTAGGAACCCACCTTGCGATCACTAGTATCAATAGTTTAATGAATTAGGTAAATGTTGTTAAGTATTAACACAGTGAAGTAAACAATATTGGTGTTGTTCTTTTATGAGATCATGATTACATTAGGACACAAGGTTTCTAGTCAGAGTTGCATATCAGTACTAAAAATACTCCAGTGTGGGCATCAGGTGAATTATTAAATTATTCTTAGGTATATCAGGTTT